CCCCCCCCCCCCCCGTCTTTTTCACTCACTTCTGCCAGCCCGGGCTCGTACCAGCCATCGAAGATCCCTCTCGACCTCCTCCTCCTCCTTCGCTCCACGACCCTCCTCCCTCCGGCCTTTACTCCTCACATCCCTCCTCTTTCCACTCCTCTACTTCCCCGTGCTTTGGGCGACAAAGAGGCTGAGGGATCGGGAGTGGCGCGAGGGGAATGCGCGGGACGGAAGAAAGGCGGGAGAGATCAAGGGTGGGCTTTGGGTGGGCTCGAGAGAGGGCGATGAGGGTGCGGCCGCAACGTAGCGTCGACGCTGAGGTTTGTGCTTCGCCGCAGGAGGTGAGGCGGAAAAGGAGAAAGCTGAAGAAGCCAAGCACGCAGATCTCGTGAATGCTCGCGACTCTCGCTTCGCGCAGAGCAGGGCGAGACTGCGTAGTGCGTAAAGGTATATCTGCAGTACCAGGAAGTTGCACAGAGTCGGACGGAACAGCACGCGAGAGAGGGCTGAGGGAAAAGAAGGGAAGAAGGGGGGAGCATAGACGGCGCGGCGGGAAGAGGTTCTAAAACAGGGAGAACGAAAGGTGCTCAGCACGCAGGTGAGAGCGAGTGGGGGAAGAATTACAATAGGGTGGAAGACAGGAGAAGGTGGATGCGAGGAGGGAGGAGAGCTCAGCAGCAACCGCCGGCTTGCTGCTGGTTGACGGCCGCGCCGCCCGTGAGCTTGACAGGCGCCTTGCCCGGTCCGCCGGCTGCCGGTGCGGATGCTGCAGTGCTGTGGGTGCGAAGGAGACCGCGTGAGTCTCGCAAGACAGCGAGGAAAGCAGGACGGGAGAACACACCGGTCCTTGATCTGCTTGGCCATGGTCAAGAACGCCTGTTCGACATTAGTCGCGTTCTTGGCCGACGTCTCGAGCAAGCTGACGCCAATCTGATCCGCAAACTCCTTGGCGACGTTGTACTCGACGACCTTCTTGCTCGTCAAGTCCGACTTGTTGCCGACGAGGAGCTTGTTGACGCCCTCGCACGCGTAGCGGTCAATCTCTTGCAGCCACTGCTTGACGTTGGAGAAGGTGTCGGCGTCCGTGACGTCGTAGACGACGATGATGCCGTGCGCGCCGCGGTAGTAGGACGAGGTGATCGTGCGGAAGCGCTCCTGGCCGGCCGTGTCCCACTGCGAACGGGGGTATACGAGTCAGCACTCGTCAGGGCACGGCAGAGGCTTTTCAGCGGGTGTTAGCCAGCGAATCCGCCTGCTCCAGCCTCGCAAGCCGTCTTCCCGCCCTGACTGACCCGACCGAGCGACGACTCACAATCTGCAGCTTGACGGTCTTGCCCTCGAGCTCGATGGTGCGGATCTTGAAGTCGACGCCGATGGTCGAGATGTAACTCTCAGTGTAGGTGTCGTCTGCGAACCGGAGCAGGAGGCACGACTTTCCGACGCCCGAGTCGCCAATCAGGAGGAGCTCTGCACGGGTGAATGTGCACCGGTCAGTACGCAGTCAACGGCGGTCACGAGTGTGCAGTCGAGCGGCGTGTGTGGCTGCTGACAGCGAGGTGGTATCGGGAGGCGGTGTCGACACATGTCGGCCTCGAGGGCGAACGAGGGCGCAGGACTCACTGAAGAGGAGGTCGTATTCGGACTGCATCGTCGTGGGCGTGTCTGTGCTGCTCTGCGTGCGAGTGTGCGAGTGTGAGAGGGTGTGTGCGGTGATGGCGAGGGTTAGCCGATGAGGGGGAGAATGGGCGGCGAAGAGGGCGAGGCGCAGGTGGATGAGAGCGGGGCGTGTCAGTGTTCGCACGTGCAGTCCAGCAGCAGTCCAGTCGAGCTCACGCAGCGGGGGTGCGAGGTGTGCGAGGAGGAACCCTTGTCGAGTTGTAATCACCTGATTACACTCGCATCAATACAAACTTGTAATCGACCTTGTCAACCACCTTCTTCTCCGTCCTCACGCGTGCTAGGCTAGAATGGACAGCTCGCAGCTCGCTGCAAACGGCCACGATCCCATTGACGACGCGCACGACTCGGCCGCCTCGACCCGCCTCACCACCGCCCTCTCGCTCAACTCGCAACTCAAGTCGCAGCTTTCCACAGCCCAGATCGCGCTCCTGACGCACCGACGCGCTCGTGAGCTTGCCAAGGAGCGAGAGGAAGGAGATGAGGACCCGCGCGAACGGGAACGGAGGCTGTGGGAGCGGATACAGGCGTTGAGAGCGGAGGTCGACGGACAAGTGGGGAGGAAAGCGGTCAAGGACAGGGTCGTAGAGGGGTGAGCTGCCGTCTGTGCACTTTTGGCGACGTGGTGCAAAGACTGACGGACGCGAAACGGCACTTTGTGACCCCACAGACTCGACAACGCCCTCCTCGTCTCGACACACTTGCGCGACACCTCCCTCTCCGCCGAGTCTTCCGCTCGCCAAGCGTGCGTTCGCATCTCCACCTTCTACTTCTTCGGCTTTCACTGACGAACCCGACCCCGCGAACAGCGCCCTGACAGCCCTCCTGAACCAGCGCGACAACCTCTCGCTCGAGCTGTTGAGGCTGCGGAGCGACATCAACAAGCTTGCTCTGGAGCGACTCAAGTTGCGCAAGAAGCTCATCTGTGCGTCGTCGACGAAAAGCTCTGATGTAGGTACAACGGCTAACCGCGGTGGCTGTTTCCTGCTTGCTTGATGTTCGTCACGACGCAGCCCTCAACCGCCAGAACGCCGCACACACCACCACCCTCCTCTCCTCACAGACCCTTCCCTCATCGCTACTCGCCTCGCTCCCGCCCCCTCTCCGCGCATACTACACCAAGTTCGTCCCTCCTCCTTCCCTTCTCCTCCCGAACGTCCAACTGACTCGCACGTGAAATAGGCTCCAGCAAGACACCTCAATCCTCACGACCCGCCTCTCGATCCTCCGGAACGTCTTCCAGCTCCTCGTGCACGAATCGGGCGTGCCGCTCGCCCTTCCGAGTACCTTCACGGATGTGGCAGAGTTACTTCGCCCGCCGCGAGCGGGAGAAGATGAGGAAGAAGAAGAGGAGGAGGAGTTGACGCCGGGGAAGTTGGTGAGGTTGATGCTTCTTGCGGGAGATGGGTCGATGGACGAAGCGGATGTACCACCACCCCTCAGACTGCACGAAGGAGAGGGAGAAGCAGGGTGGAGGGAGAAGTTGCCGGAGGATGTGAGGAGGGAGTTGGAGCAGTGGGAGAGGGAGAGGGAGCGTGGTGGTGGAGGCGGGAAGAGAAGGAAGGTCGAGTAGGCTTTGCTATCGACGAGATCTCTTTCTGATGTCCTCGAGGGTCGTGCGAGGTCAAGTTGAAGAGCACTAGAGTATTACAACTACAACGAGAGGTCGACGAGGCGCGAGAGAAACAGAGCAGAACGCGAGAAAGAGGCGACTCCGCAGTCGGTTGAAGGGTGGGAAGGGCAAAGAACTAGCGGAGAGGTGTGATATAACGAGTTCCTTAAGCGCGAAGAACGAAGTGAGGAGGAGAGGGTAGTGTACAAGCGAAGGGGAGGAGAGGTGGCGAGTCGGAGGAGACGAGATGGCGGGACGGGGGTGTCGCGAGGGTAGAATCGCTCATGCAGCGCCGAAGGTGTCTGCGGACGAGGACATTAGCATGATAGGGACCCGAGCAGACTTGCGAAGTTCGCAGAACTCACTCTCGCCCGAGTAGCTGTTTGTCGTCCAGAAGCATTGCGTCAGTACTGAGGCATCCGAGGCATCTTCATGCTGACAGTCGGCGCGCCGACTCACGTCACATACAAGAAGCCGTCCTCGTCCTTGTGCTCCTCGTAGATGCTGCTCATCAGTGCCGCGGTCGGAGGGAGGACCTCGTCGACAAAGATGAAGATGGCCTTCTCTGGCGACAGCTTGATCCTCTTCCGAATCACGTAGACGAACTGTCGGGCGGTACTCGTCAGTTGGAACGGGCGGAAAACGCGACAGCAAGCCATCGAGGACACACCTGACCGACGGTCAAGTCTGCCGGGACGAGGTACTTCTTCTTGTCGATGGTGGGGATGTCGGTCTTTTCTGCCTTCTCGCAGATGACCTGCCGAGCGCAGATACGAGCGCGGGTCAGCCCCATCGCGCGAGAAAGCCTTCATCGCCCTCGTTCGCTCGAACTCACGGGGATGCGGTCCGAGTACTTGGCGCGGATGCGCTCTGCCTCTGCCTTGCGCTTCTCTGCGAGCGTACAAACGATACGGTCGTCAGCGCGCGTGCTCGTCCGCTCTCGCAGCCGTGGTGCCGTGGCGTCGATGGCGCATCGTAAGCCGGGGGGTGTCAGGAGGTGGGGGCGAAGGCGACGAGCGGCGAGCGGGCAGACTGACCGAAGACGTGCTCGTCCTTGAACTTTGAGCGGACCATCGTAGCGTGTCTAGCAGTTCAGTGGGTCCAGCGGGGGGATGTGCGTGAGGTGGAGTTGACCAACAGATGAGGACGCGGGTTATGAGCGAGCGACACTCTGCTTCGCGCGTTTGGGATGCTGGAACGGGTTAAATGGACTGCTACAGCTATAGCGATCACCTTGCTAGGTCGCCCGACCCGCCGTCTCGCTCTCGCTCGCCTCCCTCGCTCGCTGCCTGTCCCCGTGCGATTGCCATCTCTTGTTCTGCGCAGCGAACGCCGTGCAGGAGTCTCAAGGTGAAGTAGGGACGGGCTGTCCAGCGAACAGCTTTCGCACCAAGGCTGGCCGTTGAGGCGGCGTTGCACCTGGTTGAAGTGCGTGCAAGTGCGTGTGCTGGAAATCGAGGGCCGCGGGCGTCGCTTCTCTCGAGTCTATACCGTACCCAACACTCTCTCAACTTAGTTGCGTTGACCCCGCCTTCCACAGGAGGAAGACCCGAACTTGCGGACGGCGAGAAACCTCGTCTGCTGGCCATTGTCGAGGCTTTGCGACTCCACACTACGGTTCACGAGGATTTGCACTTCGTCCCTGCCTGCTGCGTCTCATGGTTAGCCCACTGGGCCTGTGACCAGCTTCCCAGCTTGCTACGCTGCCTCTGCTGATCTCGCCCGCTGCGCTCTTCGTCCTTGACCCCAGCTACTGTGCCTGTCGGTCTGGGGCGAGTACTCTGTCGTTGGCGACCTACCAACAGAATGCTCATTGAAGAGACGCTCAGCTTGCCCCTCGTCAGTCGCCCGTTTTCTTCGCCAAGCTCTCGACGCCCCAGCAACGCCTCAACTCGCTCCTCCCTTGTCCCGCTCCACGCCTATGACTCAGCAATTCGCCAATAATGCAAGGTCCACCCCTATGCATAACAACGCCCGTCGGCGACCGTTTGTCGCGCGTCCAGAGCGTTCTCTGAGTGCCCGTCCTCTCCTCCGCAACCCCCCGCAAACCAGCGGTCCCTTCGTAGCGTATCGATTCGCTGCTATTGTGCTTGCAAAAGGGTCCGAACGGTGAACGTCTCTCCCAAAAATCGAAAGTCGCGTCCACCTCGCACGACGCTGCCCGACGTGACTTGCCCTCCTTCACCTCCGGCCCTCGCGCTCTGGGCGGCCTGCTCGCTGTACTAGCGCCTCCTGCGTAAGCTTTGAAGGCTCCCAGGCTAGTGTCGAACGCGCGCACGTGGATGCGAGGTTGGTTGGCGAGGTGACGATGGGGCGCTCATCGCCTGGTCAAGATGGGGTGGCGGCGAGATGCTGGGGCGCGGGCAAGCTGGCAGGCGTGCGCAACGGTTAGACGAACGTACAGTCTCTGCGCAGGAGTGCCCGAGGTGCTGCGCTGCCTTCTTCCAGCGTCCTCTTCGCGAGCTGATGAGGCGGAGGTCGGGCTTCACGGCGGATGAGGCGCGACTGGCAGCGATTTGGACGGTCTGGGACGAGTCACTGACTGGCTTCTGGCGCCCGCAGCTCTTTGCCAGTCTTCAGCACCTCGACTCGAAGAGTGCGTCCTTCCATCTCCTCCACACTTTGACGCCCAGCTCATTGAGCCTTCCCGCACCGCCCGCAGTGGGAGACGTCGTCATCTCGGCTCCGACGTTCCACCGCCGCGCAGCCCGTCTATTCGACCGCTGGGAGGTGAGCTGCCCCCTTACGAGCGGAGTTCGACAGGCCTTGCTGACAGCCCGATCTCGCAGGCGAAGGAGGAGGACTCGGCTCCTCTCGGCGACGTCGAGTATGTGTTGGTTGTGGCGGGGAACTCGGACGAGGAGAACCCGTATCGCAAGGGTAGCGCTCTCCAGGTTCGTACGCGGTCTCTTGTTCGGCTCGCGCAATGCGCTGATAACGGCCTGCTCCACAGACGCACCTCCTCGGTTACGAGTTCCCGAGTACCCTGATGCTGCTCGGCAAGCGGAAGGTCCAGTTCGTCGTCTCCGCGTCGAAGGGTGAGTTCGCTTCACGCGGGTTGAGCGAAGGTGCGGATCGGTCGCTGACCCTCTCCGCGTCGCAGCCAAGCTCTTGCAGCCCCTTCTCAAGGCGCCAAGCGGGTCGGACGACAAGAAGGTCGAGGTCGAGATCTTGACGCGCTCGAAGGACGAGGCGGAGAACAAGAAGCTGTTCGAGCAGGTCATCCAGACGATCGGCGAAGGGGTGCGCGTCGCTCTTCCTTCCTGATTGGGCCATCAGCTAACGCTGAACACTCGCAGAACAAGGTCGGCGTCCTTCCCAAGGACAAGATGTCGGGCAAGTTCGTCACGGAGTGGCAGAACGTCCTCAAGGGGTCGGGCGCGGACCTGAAGGAGGTCGACGTTGCGAACGGCGTGTCGACTTTGCTTGCTGTCAAGGATTCGGAGGAACTGGTGCGTCCGCTCGTCGTATTGGGTCACTTGCTTCGCTCACCTCGCTCGTGCACCGACAGCAAAACGAGCGCAACGCCGCCAAGATGACGAACAAGCTCATGAGCCACTTCAGCGACGTCATGTCGGGCTACATCGACGAGGGCAAGAAGGTCACGCACGAGCAGCTCGGCGAGCAGATCGAGGCGAAGCTCGAGGACAGCAAGTTCTGGAAGAACCTCAAGCTGGGCGACGACGTGAGTTGCGCTTCCTCCGCACGTAAGACGGATGGATGCTGACTCCCCTTCTTTGCAGTTCGAGACCGGCTTCGGTGATTGGTGCTACTCGCCGATCATCCAGTCGGGCGGCAACTACGACCTCAAGTCGTCCGCCGTCACCGACGACCAGCGCCTCAAGGCGGGCGTCATCCTCTGCTCGCTCGGCATCCGCTACAAGTCCTACTGCAGCAACGTCGGACGGACATTCATGATCGACCCGACCAAGGTGCGTTCCTTCCCAGCTCACACTCTCGTCCCGCCTGCTGATGTCTCGTCTCGACTGCAGGACCAGGAGAAGAACTACCTCTTCCTCATCGACTTGCAGAAGCACGCGATCGGCGAGCTCCGCGACGGCGTGACCTGCAAGGACGTGTACCAGAAGGTCGTTGACAAGATCAACGCCGACCGGCCCGACCTCCTGCAGTACTTCGCCAAGACCGCCGGCTTCGGAGTGCGTGAAGCTTTCCAGCTCGTTACGCATACGACGCTGACCGCCTTTCCTGCAGATGGGCATCGAATTCCGCGACCCCGCCTACCCGCTCTCGGCGAAGGGCACGCGCCAGCTCAAGAGCGACATGGTGGTTGCACTCACGCTCGGCTTCAACAACATTCCGGATGGCAAGAACTCCCAGTGCGTCCGACTTCTCCCCTCTCGAGCCGCATCTTACTGACGTGGATCCACGCCGCAGGTACGCCCTCTCCCTCATCGACACGATTCAGATCGGCAAGGACGGTGGCAAGATCCTGTCGGAAGGCATGAAGGGCAAGGACGACGTCATGTTCTACATGGAGGTACGCAGCTCCCGCTTGCCCAGTCTTTTGCTGCTGTTGACTTCTCGCCCGCAGGAGGAGGACAAGAAGCCGTCACGCTCCGCCCAGAGAGACGCCCCCACCCGCCGCAATGCCGCCCCCACCGCTGTCGTCAAGTCGAAGCTTCGCAACGAAAACCGCGAAATCGATGCCGACGCCATCAACCGGCGCAAGCAGCATCAGCGCGAGCTCGCTGCGCGGAGGCAGGAGGAGGGGCTCGACAAGTACTCGGGCGAGGGCGGGACGGGCGGCAACAACCGCGAGAAGCAGTGGCGCCGTTTCGAGTCCTACGTCAAGGACAGCCAGCTGCCCGATGCCGTCGCCTCTCAGAAGGTCAGTTCCGCTCGTCCAGCACTCACGAGCGTCTGCTGAACTCCTCGATTCGCAGATCGTCGTCGATGCTCGCCGCCTCACCATTATCCTCCCCATCAACGGTTTCGCCGTGCCCTTCCACGTCAACACCCTGAAGAGCTTGGTCAAGCAGGAGGAAGGCGACTACACCGTCCTTCGCTTCCTCTTCACAACGCCCGGCGCGATCTCGGGCAAGAAGGAGGACACGGTGCGCTGCGATACCCGGAGCTGTACCCTTTCGTCAGGCTGACTCGCTCATATGCCTCGCAGCCGTTCGAGGACCCGAATGCGACTTTCATCCGCGGCTTGACGTACCGCAGCACCGACTCGTTCCGCTTCACCGAGTTGCACAAGGAGATCAACGATCTCAAGCGTGCGGCGGTCAAGCGCGAGAACGAGCGGAAGGAGATGGCGGACGTCGTTGAGCAGGACAAGCTCGTCGAGATCAAGGGTGAGCTGGCCGTCTCTTCTCCTCGTCGCGCGACTCGCGCTGATCTTAGTCCGCTGCAGGCAAGCGTCCGATCCGCCTTACCGAGGTTCAGCTCCGACCATCCTTCGACGGCAAGCGGCAAGCGGGTGACGTCGAAATCCACTCGAACGGTATCCGCTACCAGTCCTCGGTCAAGTCGGAGCAACGCCTCGGTGCGTGTCGCTTTCCCGCTTCGTCATGAATGCAGGCTGACTCTCCTCTGCGCCGCAGACGTCTTGTTTAGCAACATCAAGCACCTGTTCTTCCAGCCCTGCGACAACGAGCTCATCGTGATCCTGCACATCCACCTCAAGAGCCCGATCATGATCGGCAAGAAGAAAACGAAGGACGTCCAGTTCTTCCGCGAGGTGTCGGACGCGTCCTTCGATGAGACGGGCAACAAGAAGCGCAAGCGCAACTACCACGACGAGGACGAGCTCGAGGCCGAGCAGGACGAGCGCAAGCGTCGAGCGGACCTCAACAAGTACTTCAAGGCGTTCTCCGACAAGATCGCGGAGGCTGTGCGTCTACCTTCTCGCTTTCGCATGCTCGCAACGCTGACGCCGCCCGCTCGCTCGCGCAGTCGAACGGACGCGTCGAGGTAGACATCCCCTTCCGCGAGCTCGGCTTCCAGGGTGTCCCCTTCCGCTCCAACGTCCTTCTCCAGCCCACCACCGACACCCTCGTCTTCCTCACCGAACCGCCCTTCCTCGTCCTCACGCTCAACGAAATCGAGATCGCCCACCTCGAGCGCGTCCAGTACGGCTTGAAGAACTTTGATCTCGTCTTTGTCTTCCGCGACTTTACCCGCACGCCCGTCCACATCAACACCATCCCGTCGAACCAGCTCGACACGGTCAAGGAGTGGCTTGAGTGCGTTGCGTCGCCTCGCCCTTCGCTTCTTTCTGGCTGACTTCTCTTCTCACAGCTCGGTCGACATTCCGTTCTCGGAGGGACCGGTCAACCTCAACTGGCAGGCGATCATGAAGACGGTGAACGACGACCCGTACGACTTCTTCAAGGAGGGCGGATGGGGCTTCCTCACGGAGAAGGACAACGTGCGTTCCGTCTCTCTTCCGTCTTCCTCGTCGCAGGCTCACATTATCGCATCTCACAGGCATCCGATGGCAGCGACGAGTCGGAAGAGGGGTCCGAATTCGCGGCGTCGAGCGCAGAAGACGAGTCGGACTTTGAGGACGAGTCCGAGTTCTCCGACGCGTCCGACGACGACTCTGGCACGGCGGACGACCTCTCCGACTCGGGCGAGGACTGGTCCGATGCTGAGGCGCGGTTGGAAAAGAAGGAGAAGATGAAGGGGCGCGGGGACGACTCGGACGACGGGCGCAAGAAGAGCAAGTCGGCGGTCAAGAGCAAGTCGTCGAAGGGCAGGAAGTGAACGGGCTGTCGCATCTACCGCTTTTGTTACCCTCTTTCTCGCTTACGCTGCATCGTTGTACCATTTCCTCGGCAGAGCCGTCTCGAGTTCCTTCGCCGTGCTGCTTTCTTTGGCCTCTCGCCGTGGCCTCGTGTGACGAGGTGCTTCGCTCCATCGCCTGCTGTTGTTCGTGCTACCGCAACCTGCAACACCGACGTTCACCGAGCTTCGGTATCAACGCTCGCTCCGGACGTGCTTCTCCTCCTCCTCCCGACCCGGACAGGCGCCGTCCGTCTTCTCGAGCAGCCATCCCCGACGACTATTGTCCGTCGGTCTGCGGTTCCTGATCCAAGGAGGCACTCCCTCGTCTCCTGTGACACGACAAGCCTTGAAGCCTTGGTTGTGCAGATCCACTCGGGCTGTGTCGACTGCTGCTGACAAAGGGCCAGCGTGGCGAGAAGCGATAGAGTTTGACGCACTGAATCAGTTTCCCTCCGGTCGGCGAAGCGTGATGACATTTGTCGACGGCGGCGAGCGAGATGGATCGGCCAGAACGACGCAGCAGGCGGCGGGCAGCGGCGGCGGACGGCGAGCAAGGGTGAGGCCAGATGCCGGGTATGACGGTCATACAGCAGCGAGCCGAAAGTAAGGCAGGGGAAGCGCTAGAGAAGGTTGGTCGAGGAGCAGTGTTCTCGTTCTCGAGCGGACGATCCATACTGTACTGCCCAGTCCTGTGCAACAAGCTTCGGTGGCGTCGACTCCCTTCGCCGAGTGCGTCGTCTGCTGGCGGCAGACCCCTTGCAAAGCCTGTGCAAGGTTGAGCCCGCATCACGATCGTAAAGGCGGAATGCGAGGGACAGAGACAATGGACCGAGCGGGGGGAAGAACCGCCGACGACGGCTGCGTTGCCTGTGAGCGGTAGTCTCGTGCAGCGATGCAGCGGTAGAGTTGAGGCCTGGTCGCTGGAGACGAGCGGGCGCGAGCGGAGCTGAAGTTGGGTCCGCCTCAATAGCGAAGCGGACGACCACCTGGATATGTACCGGCGGGTTGTAATGACTTCATCAATCAGCGTCTCGCACGTTGATGCAAAGGTAACGCCATGCGAGCCGCAGGGATCTGCGGAAGTCCAGCGGCGGTTGATCCAAAGAGAAAAGCGCTGAGACAAGGTCAGCGGAAGTGGCGGAGTCGACATGTCAACCTCGAGTGGTGGGTGGATATACCGTACGCTGCAGTGTCGTGCTGGCTGGCGAGGCAGGATAAAGGGCAGCAGCTGGATGAGCGGCGGGAGGGTGCGAAGTGGTGACGCCTCGAGGCCGGCTGAGACGAGGTTCCGTGTGGCTCGCAATACTGCTCGAGGCTAAGCGTGCAGGCTGGGCCTGTCCATGAGAGTTGGAGGCCGTGGGACGTGCGAACCTTGGCTTGCGGCAGAGGGAGGACGAAGGTTGGAGGCTCGGCGAGGAGGCGAGGGCGGGCCTGCTGCGCCCGAGACAGCGACAAGGGGCGCGGTGCGGTCGTGGCCCCGTGGCGTCGCGCTCCTCATCACCTCGCCCGCCCTCTTCTCTCTCCCTCTCTTGCTCACGCTCACGACCCAGCCTCGCTCAGTGTCACGATCCAAAGGACTTCTGTCCATCCATCCCTCTCGATTCTCCTCTTTACGACTCCCCTCACGACCCCCCCACGTCCCTCTCGACCTTTACGATGAAGTTCTCGGCTGTCGTCCTCGCCGCTGCTGCCCTCACCGCCGTCTCTGCCGCTCCCGTCGCTGTCGAGGAGCGCGGATGGGGTGTCTTCAACCCCAACTCGGCCACCACTCCCACCGCGAAGGCGAAACGTGAGGTATGCTCCAGCACAACCTCCACATTCATTCTGATGGCCTGTGCTGATCTGACTTGGTTGCGCAGGTTGAGGAGCGTGGATGGGGTGTCTTCAACCCGAACAGCGCTGCGACGCCTACCGCCAAGGCGAAGCGCGACGAGGTGGGTTGATCTGTGCCTTCACCGTATCTACGGGTCGATCTCATGCCCTCGTCCGTCTGCAGATTGAGGAGCGCGGATGGGGTGTCTTCAACCCCAACTCGGCTGCGTCGCCTACCGCCCGCGAGAAGCGCGACGTGCGTCGCTTCACAGCGTCATCCCCGGCGACCCATTGCTGACGGGTTGGTCCGCGTACAGCTTGAGGAGCGCGGCTGGGGTATCTTCAACCCCAACTCTGCCTCGACCGTCCCTACCGCCAAGGCGAAGCGCGACGAGGTTCGTCCACACGCCTCTTGCCGGCCAATAACGAGGCACTGACTGTTTCTCCCTCCACAGATCGAGGAGCGTGGCTGGGGCGTCTTCAACCCTAACTCGGCTGCTACGCCCACTGCTAAGGCCAAGCGCGACGAGGTCCGTTATGCTCTCTCCTTTGCCCCGACCAGACGGAGACTGACCGTGTGTTGCGAGCAGATTGAGGAGCGCGGATGGGGTGTCTTCAACCCTAACTCGGCTGCCTCGCCTACCGCCCGCGAGAAGCGCGACGTGCGTTGAAAGCGCATCTCATCCGTCCAACACCCGTGGCTGACAGTCTGGCGGTGCGCAGCTTGAGGAGCGCGGCTGGGGTATCTTCAACCCCAACTCGGCTGCGACGCCCACTGCCAAGGCGAAGCGTGAGGTGCGTCGGTTCGTGTATTCGTCCACATGCGACTTGCGTTGACAGTCCCGGTTCTGCAGGTCGAGGAGCGTGGCTGGGGCGTCTTCAACCCTAACAGCGCCGCTACCCCCACCGCCTAAGCACCTGCAAACTCCGGCTCCTTCGTGCGCCACCTTTGGTACCCTCCGTCGCCAACCCTTACTGACGTTGGGATCCCATCGCAGGCGTAATCGTCCTCATAAACGCTCCTCTCCTCCCCGCCCCCTCCTTTGTTGCCCTCCTTACGCCTTTCGCCTCCTTTACGCGTTTCACGTTCCTTTACGTTCTTCTTCACGACTTGCAATCCTCTTAAGCTTCAGTACCAAGCCGCGCACCGGACCCAGCAGAGTCGCATCTTCTGTCCAGCGTTCCTGCTACCGCTTCGTCCGCTGTTGCTCCGCTCGTCTTCGTTCCACGGCGTTGAGCTGCTTCTTTTGCGCCTTGGCAGAAGAACGCCATGCACCGAAGGAATGCGCAAGAGAACACGGAGAAGGAAAGAAGTCGACGCCATGGAACGATGGCGGGACGGGCGAGACCTTGGGTTGCCCATCCGCATCGTCGTTCTCGCGCTCCTCCCGCGCTCTGCTGAGGCTTGCACACGCTTGGACACCTGCTGGGGACCGCCTGAACTGCCTGCGCCGACTCGCGAACCCGCCGCGCGACGAGGGAGGCTCGCGAGACTTCATCAACAAAGAGACCGTCTCTTCCCGTCTTTCCCGACAACAACCTCGAGCAGGGTGCAGACGACGGACAGGACGTGAGTTACTGGTACTATATCCAGGATGACATTAGCGGTGCCAGCAGCGGACGTCGAGGCGACGACACGAGCGTGTCCGCCTCCGCGTTCTTCCCTTGATCGGCGGTCGCGACGGGTCTTGTACGGCAAGACTGACCACGCTGTGCGCGCGCAGATGTTCCCAACCGACGATGGACGTCCCACGACGTCTGGCGGGCGCCCGCAGACGGCGAATCGGCCGCGCACTGCTCGACCTCCGACCGAGGACGGCGGCTTGAATGAGTGGGCCGAGGAGGACTACGAGGACGAGGAAGACGACGACGTCGGCATGTTCACCTTTGCTCGACCTACGACGGGCGACCCCGCGCAGGCAGCAACCTCGCCGCCCAACACCGCTCCTTTCACCCAAGCCTCCGCGCCTCACTCCCAGCCGTACTCCCCCTTCTCGCCCTTCGCGTTCGGCTTCGCTCAGTACGGCTCTGTTCCGCCTAGCACCGCAGCCCCGTCAGTCGGCGTACCTGGGACGGCCCTGACGCAGCCGCCAGCCGGCTCTCCGATCTCGCCGGCCGCCGCCTACGCCCAGCAAGTCCAGTCTCATTCGGCCGCGCCTTCGAGTCCCGAGCCACACGTCGGGCCCCGCAAGCGCGGAAGCTGGCAGTCGCCCGACAGCCCGGACCACGTCGTTGGGAACCCTTACGAGGACCAGCTGCGGCGCGAGCCGTCGAGGCGGACGAGCGGGAGCAGCGCCGACAAAATTGAGGCGCTCGCGTCGGGCTGGGCAGACCAGCATCTCTCGTATGGTCTCGACGCGAACGGGCAGGCGATCATGCTCGACGAGATGGGCGAGCCTTTGCGTTTGGCGACGACGCGCGAGCAGAAGATGGTGGATGCTGCGCGGCTCGAGCAGGACGACTTGACGACGGACGACTTCGAGGAGCTCGAGGACTCGCCGTACGCCGAAGTACAGGCCAGCGTGTCGAACTTGGACGACCCCGAGATGCCTGTCCTCACGTTCAGGACGTGGTTCATCGGCCTCCTCTTCTCCATCGTCATCTCCGCCTTCAACTGCTTCTTCTACCTGCGGTACCCCGCACCGCTCATCACGCCCATCATCACGCAAGTCCTTTCGTACCCGATCGGCAAACTCCTCTCCCGCATCCTCCCTTACCGGACCTGGCGACTCCCGCGCTGGTCGAGGCGGCTCGGTTTGCCCGAGTCCTTCAGCCTCAACCCCAGCCCGTTCAATATCAAGGAGCATGCCGCGATCGTCATCATGGCCAACATCTCGACTTCGCCCGCATTCGGGCTCAACTACACCCTTGTCGCCGAGAAGTTCTACCACCAGCACCAGCCCTTTGGACTCGATATCCTCCTGATCTTGACGACGCAAATGATCGGCTACGGCGCCGCAGGACTCTGCCGTCGCTTCCTCGTCTGGCCAGCTTCGATGATCTGGCCGCAAAACCTCGTCTTCGCCACGCTTCTCAACACGCTCCACGCCGAGGCAGACGAGGATGAGAAAGGGCCTTCGAGGTTCCGCTTCTTCTTCTACGTCTTCGCAGGCGCGTTTGCGTGGTTCTGGCTGCCGGGTGCGTTTCTTCTTGCTCTTCTCCCCTCTGGACAGGTTGACTCATTCTCTCACTCCGCAGGCTTCCTCTTTGTCGCTCTTTCTGCGTTCTCTTGGGTCTGCTGGATCGCGCCGAGTGAGTGCAAGCACCTAACGTGTAGCAGCTCTCGCTGACTTGATCCTCCGCAGACAACGTCATCGTCAACCAGCTCTTCGGCGTCTCGTCGGGTCTCGGCATGGGTCTCTTCACTTTCGACTGGAGCCAGATCGCCTTCCTTGGGTCTCCACTCGTCATCCCGTGGTGGGCGGAGGTCAACACTTTTGTCGCCTTCGCGATCGCTTACTGGGTCATATCGCCAATTATGTACTACAAGAACGTACGAGGCGCTCTGTCTTTCCTCTTGGCTTGACTGCTGCTGACTCGCCTCGTCCCGCAGGTCTGGAACACCGCCTACCTCCCCATGTCGACGAACATGGTCTTTGACCGCTTCGGCGCGCCGTACAACACTTCGGCAGTCGTCGACCGGGTCGGGATGAAGCTGAACGAGACGGCGTACCAGGAGTACTCGCCCCTCTACCTCCCGATTACGTACGCTACAGTCTACGGCATCTCCTTCATGCTCGCGACGTCCATCATTGTCCACACCGCCCTCTACCACGGCAAAGAGATCTTCCAACGAGTTCGTCGAGCGCGCAACGAGAAGGACGACGTGCACATGCGGCTCATGAGGAACTACCGCGAAGTCCCAGACTGGTGGTACCTCGCCTTCCTCGTCATCGCGATTGCCCTGACTATCGTTACCGTTGCGGTTCGTTCATCGTCTTGGCCTTCGTCTATCTCACGATACTGACTGAGTCTGTGCATAGTGCTGGGACACCTACATGCCCGTCTGGTCGGTCATCGTCGCCATCCTTATCGGCCTCATCTACCTCGTTCCGGCGGGCTTCATCTTTGCGGTCACGACGTATCCGGTGCGTCGAGGCATACGCATGCTCTTGCTGTGTCGCTGACGTCCAGCTTGCAGGTCTCGATCAACCTCATCGTCGAACTCGTCGCCGGCTACATCATCCCTGGTCTCCCTTTGGCCAACATCGTGCGTTCCCTTCATCACTCGCCACAGGCTCACTAGAGTGACTATCGTCCCCCGCAGCTCTTCAAGCTGTACGCTGTCCAGGTACTCAACCTCGGCCTGTACTTCGTCCAGGACCTCAAGCTCGGCCACTACATGAAGATCCCGCCACGCGCAACCTTCAGCGGTACGTTCGGCTCAGACTCCGCATCGTCACCTCGGCTGACGCCAGCGCAAACTACAGTGCAAGTCGTCGCGACCTTCGTCACCGCCTTCGTACAGGTCGGCATCAAGCGCTGGCTCGTTGCTGTCGTGCCCGACCTCTGCGCATCGAATCAGTCGGCGCACCTCGTCTGTCCTTACGCTCGCTCCTTCTTCTCGGCTTCGATCGTCTGGTGCGTGCGGCTCAATGCGTCTTCCTCACTCTCGAGCTGACATCGTCCTTCATACGCGTAGGGGGCTCATTGGACCAGCTCGACAGTTCGACATCGGCGACTACTACAACCCGATCCTCTTCTGGATGCTCGCGGGAGCGATCCTGCCGATTATCACCTGGCTCCTCGTGCGGCGATACCCCAACTCCTGGGTCCGCCTGATCAGCGTTCCTGCCGCGCTTGCCGGCGCGACGTTCATGCCGCCTGCGACCGGTATCAACTATTCGTCATCGGTGCTCATGTGCTTCATCTTCCGTGAGTCTCGCGTCCTCCTCCAGACTCGCTCTCCCGCTGACCTTGCTTCGCTCGGCGCAGAATTCGTCATCCGCCACCGCTTCTTCAAGTGGTGGTCCAAGTACAACTTTATCCTGTCGGCCGGTCTCGACGCCGGCACGGTCGTCTGTGGCATCGTCATCTTCCTCACCCTGCAGCTACCGAAAGGCGGCACGATCTGTGCGTCTCCGCTTCCCTTCGCTCGGCCTCTTCCTACGCTGACACGCATCCTTCGCAGCGCTCAACTGGTGGGGCAACTCAGTCTACACCAACACGCTCGACTGGCAAGGCGTCTCGTACAAGATGGCGCCTCCGGAAGGGTTCGGTCGGACGTCGTGGTAGGGCGGATCTTATAGGCTTAGAAACCCCTCACTCTTTGTTGTTCACTTATCCGGGACTTGTATGGGTTGTATTGTCATGCTATAGTGTTCTCCGTCGACGTGACGAGGAGGCTGGAGCATCGAGGCGAGAGCCTGCGTGATGATTCGACCGGCCAGCGGGTTTCATGGCGTCAGCGAGCAGTCTGCGAGGCGTCGCACTAAGCCAAGGGAGCGCAGAAGAAAGCAGCCGTCTCGCGACCGCGCAACCCTCTTCATCGCTCGCTCTCCCCCTTGTCCGCGTCCCTATAGCCCGCTCACCTTCGCTGGGCTCGCTGAACTGCTAGATGCGCGGCGATAGCTTGCTACAACGTCTTGGTGCAGCTAGTCACCGCTCGGGCGGTCTATACTCCGGCCAAACCTCCCCCCTCTCTTCAGCGGTGATAAAAGCTCGAATAGAATCGGCGGACGTCGCTGAGCTGTGTGCGCACTTGCAGGACGGAGTAGCAGCACTGGACTAGCTGGCTGTTCACGGCGCATTGCTCACAGCCCGGAACGGCGGCGTTGCCCTCCTTCCTCTCTCGCACCTCTCGAGGAGACACTTTTGAGGCTTCGCCGAGGCTCGCAGAAGGAATGAATCGACATACAACACCACTGAAGGAACCCTGCAACCCTCAAACCCTCTGCTCTCCTGCGCACTCCCGCAACCTCATCTCGCATCTTGCCTCTCTCCTCCTCCCGCCTCCTCCTCTCGCCCCTCCTGCCCCATCACGCACGACAGCGCCTCCGTTCCTCCACTCCGCACGCCTTCCACGCCGAACTCTCGCCGCCTCTTCGAGTGCCGACGATGACCCGCTGAGCACTCTTCTTCGCGACTTGCTGGAGATGGGCTGTTCGGAGGGTTCCGCCTGTGCTGGGCGCTAGGAGGTCTGCCGCATCGTCGTCAGGCTATTAGCGACGTTGCGAAACTCTGGCTGGCGCGGAAACGGTCGCACCCGCTGTGGAAGGCGCCGACCCCTCATCCCTCGCGACCGCTCGTACTCCCTCCCGCCCTCGCGCGCCTCCCGCCGCTCGACTCAACCCCGACGGCGAACTAGGCGGACTGAGGTGGAACTCGAGCGCATCGGGAGTTGGCAAGACGGGGAGAGTGAAGGATGTCGAGGAGGAGGAGGGGAGGAAGGAGGAGAGGAGGTGGCGTAGGCCTGTGAGGGGCGTGGTGGACATGGCGAGTGTGGATGTAGTAGAGAGGCGAGCAGGAGCCGGGCCCAGGGGAAGGACTCGTTGGATCAATGCCTTTGTTCTGAAGACGAGACGACGGACAAAGGCTGGATGGAGTCTCGGTTCCGCGTTCCGCTTCGACGTCCGCTTCCTCCGCTATGCTTCTCCGATGTTTCCTGGCACTCTGCTGCTTCGACTTGAGCTGGACTGGGATTGTACGAAGAGAAGTGTCGCGCGAGAACAGGAGGCTGCTCGATCGCTCCCGGTTGCCGTCCCGCTCTTCCTCCCCGCCTTCTCTTGCTCAAGTCGTGTCCACTGTGTTCGTGTAGACGCTGTGCCATGCTCGGACTGCTCTCGCGCGCAACTGCAAACTTCAAGAACAGCACCCACCCCGCTGCTTGGTCCCCAGACGACCCCGCCCCGTCCGGCTTCTCCTCCCACAAGTCCTCCCTCTCGCTCCCGATCAGCTCCCTCGCCACGCTCTCCTTCCGCGCGACAGGCATCTACTCCCAGGGCACTATCGTGTTCGAGCGGGCGGACGGGGCAGGGAGGGCGGCGGACCCGCCTTCGTACGGAGAAGCCGTGCACGAGTCAGGCAAGCCGAGGGAGGTCGGGACGGTCCAAGTCCATGTCGAGGCGAGGACCAACAGCGAGGGGTTGTATGGCGAGAGCCGGATCGAGCCTGTCGAGGGCCACGAGCGGTGCGGGCTGTCGCTCACCGTACGCTCGCTCACCTTCCTCGTATCGCCTTTTGTCCCCGCTGATTGCGTCGCCTATCGCCCGCAGACCCCCGCATCGTCGTCCGTCTCGCGCCTAGGCGCCACGCTCTCCTACCACATCGTCGTTGCGATCCCTTCGACACTCACCTCCCTCGATACGCTTCTCGTCGAAGCAACCGGTTTCCGCGTGATCCTCTCTTCCTCCCTCTCCTCCTTCCCCTTCTCGACCCTCGACATCTCGACAACAGACGCACCAGTCGTCCTACACGACCTGCGCGCGGAGAACATCAAGATCCGCAATGCGAACCTGCTCGACCCGAACAAGCGCGAGCTAAAGAACTTTGACGACCTCATCTCTGGCTCTGTCGCCTCCTCATCTCGCATCCAACTCGAGTGCGAGAACGGGCCTATATCAGGCTCCTTTCGCTCGAGCGGCGCAGTCATCGTCCACTCGACAAACTTCCCTGTCAAGGGAGACTTTCACGGCGCCTCGTTACGGATCGCGACGACCAATTCCGAGATCAGCGGGACGTTCGATGCCAAGCGTGATATTGCGATACAGAACGTGCATGGGAAGGTCGAGGGGAGGTTTAGGGCGCCGATGGGGTGCGAGATCAAGGGGCAGTACAACGCGATCAACGGGAGCTTCGAGGTTGGGAACGAACTCAAGGTGCGTGCGAGCACTCTCTTGGCTTTCTTGAGCTGCAGGCTGACGCTGCGAGTTGCCGCAGCTCATCACCACCGTCTTCCGCATCGACGCGACCGTCCGCCTCCTCCCCCCTCCCTCGTCCTCCCTCAATCCCTCGCACCCCACCCTCCCCGTCACACGCATCGCCTCCGCTACCTCCTCAACCAACGAACTCCCAACTTTCGAAGACGCCATCGCCTCTTCGTCCTCTTCCGCCTCGTTTGGGGTCGTCAACGTCCTCGCTGAGACGACCGATGCGGCTATCGAGCTGAATTTCGAGCAACACCCGAAGGAGGTGACGTGCAGGAGTTTGGCGAGGACTAGTGGGGGGTCGAAAGTGATTGTTACGCATCCGCAAAACTGGGAGGGAGCGTTCTCCGTGCGTCTGCCTCCTCTTCTCCCCCCTTTCTCTCTCTCTCTCCAGCTGACGGAGCACCGAAACAGGCATCGACAGTCCTCGCCCACACAGCCACCTTCACCACCCTCTCGCATTCCTCTCCAACCCTCGGCGCGCGCCAAACCTCGCTCGACACCGACTCGCGCTCGAGAGTCGCTGGGTCTGTCAGGTGGGAACGCGGGGAGGGAGCAACGGGGAATAGGAGTGTGGTGGAGACCGATGGGCCGGCGGAGGTCGTGGTGCGCTAGGCGCGCGAGCGAGGGAGCGAGGACTTGTAGCAGTAGGTTCGTTCGAGTCGTTTCAAGGGGTTTGTATCGTGCTTCCACTCTGTTTGCTCGTGCGAAAGAGAGCGATGCGAGTGCTGTACATTGCGCGTGCGTAAGACGCGAAGTCAAGCTAACAACAACGAAAGATGCGAAGTCAAGCGACGACAAGCGTAAGCGACGTTCCCTCCCTCCCTCCCACCGTCCGTCAAGCGCCTCACCCGCACTCGTGAAACTCGTCGTCCTCCTTCCCGAACCAATCATACCTCTGCACCATCATCTGCTGATACCACAACACCCTCTCGAGCGGACTCATACTCGCCAAGTCGGGCTTCTCCGGGCCCGTCGAGGTAGACGCCTTCTTTGATGAGCGGCCCGAGGTCGTCCCGTTGCGCTGGTGGGTTGCGGCGGCTTTGGCGGCGGAGGCGGCGCGTTTGTCGAGCCTGCTCATGCGAGCGAGGGTAGGTGAGGAGGTCCGTCAGTCTCTCCTCCGCGCTGTGGCATCGTCTCCTCGGTCCACATCGGACAGAGCAAGCGAGGGACAAAGAAGAAAGACCGGCGGACGTACAAAGCCTGGTGAGCCCTCACGCCCCCATGCACCCTCAACGCCAAACTCTCGACCGCCGCCTCGTTGAACAACTGCATCGGGGCGCCCGTCTTGCGTGCGTAGGGGTTGCGCTTGATTTGGGCTTTGAGGGACTTGAGGCTGCGCCGAGTGTTGGGAGTCAGCGAAGGAGGAGGAGGAGGGAGCGGGACGGAACGCGCTCGGTGTCGGTGAGCTTGTAGAGCTTCTTGGTGTCGGTCTTGGGAATCCACTGCAGCGCGCTCGCCACGAAAAAGTCAGCCCGGCCTCCGAGTCGCAGAGCGGACTTGACGCAACGACGGCGCAGAACTCACGAGCGCATGGACGAGCTTGATCGCCCTCTCCCACTCAAAGCTCCTCACAGCCTGCACATACTCCTGCTCCATCTCCTCCGCCTTCCTCTTCTTCCCTCCCTTCTTCCCTCCCGCTCCGGCCACGCGAACAGTCTTGATCACCTGCATCCTCCTCGCGTCGACCCAAACTCCATTCGTCCAGATCCTCCCGACCGCCTGGCGCTGCTCGTCCGTGACGGCCGTCGACTCGGGAACGAGGCGGCGACCGGCGTTGTATTCGGGCGAAGGGCGGAGGGCGCACAACCCGGCCCAGAGGGCGGAGGGAGGGCAGACGAAGGGTGCGAGTGTGGGAGAGTGAGGGGTGTAGTAGCACGCGCGGAGGGCGCGGGAGACGCAGGCCAGAGAGAGGTGGTCGCGGAGGTTGAGGGTCGGGTCTGAGAAGATGCGGTCGAGTCTGCGTCGCGAAACCTTCAACATCAGTCAGCTTCGTTTCCCCTCCGGAGAGGTCGCCAGCGTCGCTTCGAAGGAGAGGAACCCGACGCACGCCTTGGCCGGCAACCCCAACAACCCCTTCGCACTCGCCACTCCCGCTCCTCCCCTCGCCCCTCCCGCAGGCATGTCCCTCCAAGCAGGCTTGTCTACCTCCGCGCGACGGATATGCACGGCGACAGTCTTGAATTCGGCGGCGAGCGACATTGTTGGGGCGCGGTTGAGGGGGGTTGGCGGATAGGAGGTCGAGGGGAGAGAGGGGCGTGGATGGGCGTGGGAGGGGGTGGGACGGCGTGCGGCGGGTGTGTGAGGCGAGAGGATTGGTCTGCTGTGCTGTACGAAGCAGTCCGGCGAGAGTGAGTGAGTGGCGAGAGGGAGAGAGAGCGACGAACAGAGCGAGTCGCTCGGACCGCTGCAGCCAACGGTTCCCACGACTTGCGACTTGCGACGACAGGGCCAAGGCGACGCTGTGAGCGTGTATGAACCAGACACGCACTCCGGAACAGGCGTTGTGCGGAGGACAGCGGCGAGACGGGCGTTTGCGAAGGTCAAGGCGAGCGGAGAGCGGCTGTCCTCAGGCCTTTCGCCATCAAATCCAGCAGCGCGACTCCGCCTGAATGCTGAGGGAACAGGCAGAACGTCCTGAGTGGGGGACGGACAAGGGGAATGGGCAGGGCGAGAAAGGCGTTCGAATTCGTCCAGGTGAACGAGCGGACGACGCGAAAGACAGCCAACACCGCTCAGGCAGCTGCGCGGTCAGTTCCATTAGAATCAGCGTAGCCTGGGAGAAGCAGCGAAGGAGAGGAAAGGTGAGCAAGCGGGAGGTGAGCGGGCAGAAGATGAGGAAACCGCCTCGAGGACGACTCGCTTGGAGCAGAGGCAGCGGCGTGCTCTCCGTCCGACTACTACAGTACCAGCGGATCATCTGCCCGTCGCCGACGTCGCAACGAGACGCTGCTCGTCATGAAGCCCAGCACTCGAGAGGATGGAACCTTGGGCGGGTGCCGACGAAGCAGGCGAGGAGGCGGGTCGGTCCTTGTCCAGCCAACAAGCTGCGAGCGATCCTGCTGGTCGTCACGGCGAGTCGGTGCCTCCAAGGCAAACAGGAACGAGCAAGGGAGGCCGATTCTTGCGTGTCGAGGGTGTTCCGATGACGGAGGCATGCCAAGGGGTCGACGAGGCAAGAGGAGAGCGGACGCCGAGCAAGGCTGGCTGGCGATCTGGCGCCCTCGTCGGTGAGTTGCTTCGGTCTCTGTGAAGCAGTGTACAGAGTCTGGCGCCTGACTGTGCGATGTTGAGGGAAAGCGACCCCCGAGGGCGAGTTCGGGGACGGCGACGGCGACGAGGAGAGTGAGCGGACGGGTCGAGCTACACTGTCAGCGTGCGTGACAGCAATGTAGTACTCTGACTAGCCAGTCTAGGGAATGACGAGAGCTCGAGGTGGCCAAGGGGAGAACCGCCGCACGCGACCTCTTCCTCTTGCGCCCTCACCGCTCACCGCTTCACACCGCTCAGACTGGCTCAGCAGTGACATACACAGCTACATAGAAACTGCAGCTACAACCTACAACAACCCGCACCGCCCACGGAGCAGTACCAGCCCCGAATCTCTCCCACGCATACTCCATCTCCCCAACGACCCCCGAACAGCCCTCTCGCGCGCCATGAGCTCGTACGGTGCGTGGAGACCATCGCGACTCACTCACGGACATTTGAACTGACTTTGTGCACGCTGGCAGGCCTCTCCGTTCTCCCCTCGCTGAGCTCTCCTCGCCGACCCTCATCCGTCCCCTCCTCGCCGCTCCTCTCGCACCCACACTCCTCCTCCGCCTCGTCTTTCTTCTCGCCTCCCGAACGCACAATCTCCCCCATCGCCGGAACGAGCGACAACGAAGACGACGACGCGCGCGGCGGTTCGAGGCGCGACTCGAGTTCCAGCTCGTCGTCGGACGAAGACAGGGCGCGCGTGATGGGGCCGGACCTTTCGCGCCTCACGCCCCGCTCGGCTGTCCCTTCCTCACCTAAGCGTGCGCCTGGTCCGTCCGCTCCGAGCTTCACACGCTCAACCTCGTCGCCGGACCCGAACACCTCCGCCTCGGCGCAGGAAGACTCGGACGACGACTCCGAAGCGCCCATCACGCCTCTCCCGCGCTCGCTCCCCCGTCCAAAGACCAAGCTCGACCGCGAGAGGGAACGCGCGAATGGGTTTAGTTCCGGAGGACAGAAGCGCGAGGGGTTGGGGACAAAGTTGGCGCGCAAGAGGGCTGACTCGCTCAAGTGGGCCAAGTATGCGAACGTCGGGACGTTCCAGGTCGAGCTTGGGTTGAGCAACGACGAGTTGAGGAGGTCGTGAGGCGGCGCCGGACAACTCGACATTCACCGACCGTATCATGTCGTTCCTCCCTCCCCTTTCCTCGCCCATCTACCTCGTTCCTCGCAGCACATCCTTCGCATCCCTTTCACGCATCATCCGATCAGGCATGGACACTCCCTTCCCTCTCCTCCCTCTTATTCCATGTTGTCGTACACATTCTTCCCCTTCGTTCCCTTCGTCTCGCCTCCTCTTCGTCTTTCGTCACGGAGGGCGTCATCCGTACAAACCCTTTCCTCACAGCTTGGTTCTAGCTCGCATTTGTTCTTCGGTCGGCGCTGTATGCTAGTTCCTCGATCTCCTTCTCCTTTTGTAAACAGACAATTTCTTCGCCTCTTGTCCTGCTGCGAGTCTTCTGCTCCCGCTACTTACGCAAGCTTCCTGCTCTTGCTCTCGTCTCTCGAAGGCCAAGGAGAAGCGAGCGGAATGCGACGAGTTGGTTGCGTGCGTTACAAGTGCTCTTCTGTTCAATCTCGATGGGTTGTTCGTACACACAATGAGAGGCTGAGGGAAACGATGCGATGAAGAGGAGTGCTTGGATGGACAAGTTATTGCGTCCCCGCCCCGGGCGCGGTCGAAGGAGAAGGGGACGGCGAGGAAGAAGGTTTCTCGACTACTTGCGTGCGGTTGAAGACCGAGATCGAGTTGAGCATCTTGGCGAGCTTGTTGGTCTTGCCTCCTCCTCCTGCTGCGTTGGGCAGAGTGGCGGGTGCGGGAGTCGGAGAAGGGGCGGGAGACGCGGTGGGCTGAGGAGGGGGACGCGCGGGGGCGGTGGAGATGGTGGGCGACGAGGCGGAGGTTTGCAGGGGCGGAGGCGGAGGAGAGGTGGAGAGTTTGCCCAGATCGCTCGTATCCGTCGCTGCGTCGCGCAACTTGGGTCGAGGCGCGGCGGCGGCAGCGAGAGGCGTCGAGCCGGTGATGGCGAGTGCGGGTGCGAGGGCGGGTAGAGGCGATTCCCGTGCACGGGAGGACGAGTACGGACGAGGAGCGGCACGTGAGGGGCTGGGACTGCGCCATTCGCGGCCTGTTGCGGTTGTAGTCGAGGTGGCGGTCCCGGTCGACTTGGTCTCGAGAGGCGAGCCGACGCTGCCGAAGCTCGACAAAGGCGTGTGCGTGCGACTTGCCGAGTCGAAAGCCGAGAGGGTCGACGGGCCGCCGCGAGTCAGGCTCGAGCTCGAGGGGGAGAAGTCGACGGCGGCGCTGCCGGGTCCAGCAGGCTGTCCGCGACGTCCGGCGAGGCGGTCCCGTCGCGTCGAAGCCGACGACCAATGATCGTGCGCCGACCCGCGTCCGCGACTCTCGTCCGCCCCGCCAGCCGGCTCGTTTCCACTCCAGTTCGACCCCCAACTCGCCGTCCCGACCGACCCGCGCGACGAGAACGGCGAGTCGTACTTGCCGCGCGGCGCTCGCGCACCCTGCATCTTCGCTGGCGCAGAGGTCGTGTCGGCGTTCGCTCCGATCGAGGCGTTCCGCTCCTCGACTCGCCGCTTGAAGGCCTCGAGGTCCTGATTGCCCTCGTTGACGAGCGTCTTCAAGCGGCCGAACATGCCGCCCTTTTTGGAGGGCAGGGGCGGGATGTCCTGCGGGAGCGTCGGGATGGCCGACGTCGACTGCGTGCCATGCGAGCGAGACGACAGGCCGGGTCGGGAGCGACTCGAGCGGCGAGGTCGTGATGGACGGAGTAGACCAGGGCAAGGGTCGCTGCAAACCTTCTGGCGAAGTCGTGTTCGAGCCGGCAGGAAGGCGAGCGTTCGGGACCGGCGGAGAGGGGAAAGTCGGCGAGGGGAGGCTGTCGCCGTCTTCCGAGATGGCGCTCGGCGAGCTGATGTAGGCAGGCCGCGAGGGCGTCGACGACGTCGGGAAGGAGGGGGCGTTCGAGCGGAAGGACGAGTCGCCAGCGACTTCGGGAACCGTTGGAAGCTCGTTCGGCAAGTCGTCAAAGATGGACTGGTTCGCCTTGACGGTTGACGGCGCGAATTGCGAGAGGAGCGAAGTCGTTGGCGGTCCGCCGCCCGGGATTGTGAGAGGCATGGTCGCCACGGGCGAGAACTCGAACGCCGAGAACGAGTCGGACGACGCGATCTGCGGCCGCTGTTGACCGAGCTGACCCTCGCCGAGCATCATGACCAGCCTGCTGGCCCATTTGCCGAACTCGCCCGCCGACACACGCCGCCGCTCTTTGCCATCGACGATCTCGAGGACGTCGCAGAAGACGTTGTCGGCGAGGTAGTGCGCGACCTCGTCCGACATGCCCTCGAAGCGGTTCTGGAGGAAGCCGATCGGATCTTCAACGTATTCGGCAAAGTCGGGGTCGTCGAGCGACGGGTCGGCCCACGGGTTGCGGTGGTACAGCAGGTTGAGGAAGACGAGGCCAAGCGACCAGACGTCGGCTTGTCGCGGGTCGTACGTCGGGCGAAGGTTGTTGCGGCACTCTGCGGGGCCAAGTCGTGAGCTGCGCAAGTTCCTCCGGAGAGAAAGGTCGGGAACGCACCGTAGGCCATGTACGGCTTGCTTCCGCAGTCAAAGTCCTCGCAGACCTCCTCCATCGTGCCCAGTCCCCAGTCGGTAATCTTGACTACGACGCCCTGCTTCCCATCCGGTCCTTGCGTGACGGCCGAAGGCGGGAGGCCCGCCGCCCTGCTCCCGCGGTCACCCTTGCCGTCGATGACGATAAAGTTCTCCGGCTTGATGTCGCGATGCGAGATGCCGACGTCGTGGCACGCCTGGACGGCCGAGCACATCTGCCCAAACATGCGCGAGATGAGTCGCAGCCGCTTGCGCGAGAGGAGCTGGTCGCCCATTGCAGCCGAGAGGAGCGAAGGTGAGGGAGGCGTCTCGTCAACGAGGAGGTGCGCGGGCGTGTCGGCTGTGATGGTGCGCGAGAGGGACGAGTCGTCCGGGTCGGGATTGTCAAAGTCGAACGAGGAGCGGCCGTTCGGGCTGTTCTCGGCGGCGGGGGACGCGGCGCGCGAATACAGGTCCTCGGTGCCGTGCTCCTGCGCCTCGAGAAGCCAGTAGAACGCGTCGCGTCCGCCGGCGTACTCGAGAACGAGGAACAGCCAGTCGTCCGTCTCGTAGGCCTGCAGAGGCGAGACGACTTACCATCAGTAACGCGCAGGGAGGGTATGGAGAGCAGCGCGAAGGCGGTGTCGCCCACTCACCCCGTACATCTGGACGATGTTCTCGTGCTTCGGCAGCGCACGATGCAAGAACGCCTCGTTGCGCTGCACCTCGATCAAGTCCTCCGTGAGGTTCTTCTTGCACAGGCACTTGAGGGCGTAGTACTGCCCGTACGTCGGTTTCGGAGGCGGGGCGTAGAAGTCTGAGCTCCACGAGTGCAGCCGCGGGCGACCGCTCGTCGAGCCGGTGTCCGAGTTGGCGTCGGCGTGGCGGTCGTCAAATTCGAACGAGGCGAGCGGGTCGATAGGCGAGAGGATGTCGTCGTCTGTCGGGTCGGGGTCGTAGAGCACCTCGCGAACGAGGTAGACGATCGCGTACGTGCCCTCGCCGAGCCGGCGCTCAATCTCGAGTTGTCGCGGCCCGTCCAACCCATTCCCAGGCGCCTTGCCGTCCATGTCGGCTCTGCCCGCAAAACAATCCCGCACGTATCCTCCGCGCCCTTCGAGCCAGACTCCAACGCCGATCCGCTCGCCCTCCTCAAAGACGTCGATAGCCGAGAGGTCATTCGAAGCAGCCGATTCGCCTCCGTCTTCGGAGGACGAGACGAACGAGTCGTACGTCTTTGTCCGTGCGACAAGTTGTCCCGCCCCAGCTCGGGGCGAATTCGGCGCCGAGTCGAGAAACGGTTCTTCGTCCGTCGTTGTGCGTTGAAAGCGGGGAGTGGTGAGGACGGAAGGCTTGTAAGTCTCGTACGTCGCCTCCCACTGCTGTACCTTGCCCTCCCCTCCTTGCACAACCTCACTCGGCACAACACCCCCCGTCGTGTTCTCCCTCACAAGCTCATGCAAGAGCGGATGAGAAGTTGCCGATGCGAGCGAAGGAGTGAGCGAGTTGCGTCGCGAGCGGGTGTGGATCGAACTGGCGCGAGAGGAGGTCGATCTTGCGCGGTTCGTGTGCGGAGGAGGACGGGAAGAAGCCGAGGGAGACCGGAAGCGACCTGTAGGACCATTGAAGCCGCTCGTCGTAGTCGACCCCGCCAGAGCCGTCCCGAACCAATTAAACTCCCGCCCCTCCGTCCCTCCTTGCGCGCCGTCCTCCCACTCGCCCACTCCATCCCCAGGCGTCCACGACTCGCCCTCCTCTTCTGCTGCTCCCGCCTCACTTCCTCCCCCGCTGCTAGGCATCCGACTCCGCCCACTCACGCTCGAAGCACGCGAATGCGACCGACTCGCGCTCCGACTCACGCCTCGCCCGCCACTTGGACCGGGAGACCGCACGCGCGTGTGGTGTGTGATGCCCGAGAGGAAAGAGGCGAGGTGGGTTTTCGCTCCTGCGGTGGCGAGCGAGGCGGAGGAGAAGGTGGGAGAGGAGAGGGAGGGGGTGGAGAGGGGCGCTGCTGAGGGGGCGGTCGTGCCGGCGGCGGGAGGGAAGAGCGATGCGGTTGGTGGGATAGTCGGTGAAGAAGGTGACGAGATCCTCGGGGGCGAAGAAGGCGTCGCCGTCGCAAACTGTACCGAACTCCTCCTCGACCCCCCTTTGCGCTGAGGCGAAGGACTCGTACTACCCACCGCACTCCCGCTCCCAGCCGGACTCAAGCTCCCACTCCCACTGCCCCCACCGTGACCCGTGAGCTCGTTCATATTCGCGAACTGCACGCCCAGTCCCAAACTCGCGACGCTCCGTCGCGCCTGCACGCTCCCCGCTCTCCTCGTCGCGCGTCGTCCGCGCCTTGCCGAGCCGGATCCAGACGAGTTCGTTGAAGAGGGCGAGGAAGTAGGGAGGAGGGCGGGGGCGAGTGAGGGACTTGGACTGGAGGCGGTGGTCGGGGGGAAGAGCGGGCGGGGTGAGCGGGGAGGAGAGGGAGAGGAGGGGGTGGAAGGTGTGAGTGGCATCGAGCCGGGACCGCGGGGGGAGAAGGGGAGAGGAAGTGCGGTCGAGGCGAGCCGGGCCTGACGAGCGAAGGGGTCAGCTCGTGTGCCCCTCCCTTCGCACAAAGAACTCGCCGCGCGCACCTTCACGTCAAAGAGATGTCGCGTGCACTCGTCAAAGGCCGTGTCGTGTGCGGCGTCGACAAAGGGGGGCCGGAAACCGCGGAGTCGCCGGTCCTGGTCGTCAGGAGGCGAGGGCGGCGGTGTTCCGCAGCGCAGGCGTTGAACGGCGGGAAGGGGCGAACGGTTGAGAGGGATGTACAGGCGGATAGGGGAAGAAGGACCGAAGGAGGTGAGGAAAGGGGAGAAGAAGCCTGCGAATATGCACCGGCGAGCGAGGAGAAGAGTGTCAGCTGCTGCGCGTAAGAATGCCGAGGGCTGTCCGGTGCGCCTCTGTACACTCCGCCAGCACTTGCAACGGACCACGTCGACCCTATCGACCCGGCAGAACGAGCGCGAGCGCGACCCTCGCGACTTGGGACCGTCCCGCGCGGTCATCCAGGCTAAGGCCGGACTGGCCGTCTCCGCGGTCCTCCTGCCTGGCCGGGCTGCCCGCACTGCCTGCGCCGTCCTCCGAGTGTCACTGCGCCATCCTCTACTTGCATCCGGAGCTAGTTGGGCGCATGAGAGCGTCTCCGGAGAGTCAAGGAACACCCTCCCCTCGGCCGGCAGCGATACCGCGTCGTGTCCCTCACTGATTCGCCCGCTCGAGTGCTCGATAGACTGTGAGAGGGTAGTCGGTGAACGTACGAGGCTAGCAGCGTGTCCGGGAGGCGGAGGGGACGAGGTTCGGCGGGGTCAGGTCGGGATTGGGCTGATGAGGACGGGGAGGTTGCGCGCGCGCGATGTGGGAGGGGGCGAGGGTGCGCTGAGCGTGTCCGCGTGTGGATGGAAAGAGTGAGAAAGGAGAAGGTCTAGCTGCTAGCCATGGCTCGGGACGGTGAGAAGCGGAGGACGAGAGGGAGAACGACGACGAACGAAAGCGCGATTTTGCAGGCGCATTACAGTGCTTCCCTGTGAGTGTGAGTCTGATTACAATCCGCGGATTACCCCGCTGTAAGTGTCCAAGCTGGTCGAGACGAGCGAGTCCTCCTCCTCGTCCTCCTGGTCTCGTTGTGGTGTTTCCCCCTCTTCCTGCGTGGATTGACAGGCTCCGTTGACGTTGTTCTCTCCTCGACATCGCTGTCCGTCGCACGCCATGCCACGCCGGCGCATCTCGTGCACCCTCCTCGGGACTGGCACCTCGTCGTCCATCCCTCTCGTCACCTGCGTCACCGACCCACACACCGGATGCCACTGCTGTCGATCGACTCTGGACCCGACAGACGAGGAGGGCCAGAAGAACAAGCGGAGGAACACGAGTGCGATCCTCAGGGTGCACAGCGAGACGGACGGCGAGGAGAGGGACAGGACCATCCTCATCGACGTGAGTGCGCGAGCGGGTGGAAAGAGCTCTGTCTCGTGGAGTGGAGTACTGGGAACTCACACGCCGCTCGTGTGCGCAGTGCGGCAAGACGTTCCTCTCGGGCGCGCTCGAACACTGGCCGAAGCGAGGCCTGCGCGAAATCGACGCCGTCCTCCTCACCCACGCTCATGCGGTGCGTCCACCAGCTTCTCTCCATGCTCTCCCGCACAAGACGGCTGATCAGGGGCCGCGTCGCTATGCAGGACGCCATCCTCGGACTCGACGACTTGCGAGGTTCGTCTTCCCCAGTCTCGCTTCGTCTGCTTCAAGCTCGCGCTTCCAGGCTGACGATGCATGCTCGGCGATTACCAACAGGCTGGACCCTCCGCGGCGCGATACAGCCCAGCATTCCGATCTACTGCACGCGAGATACCTTCAAGGAGGTCTCAAAGGTCCGTTCGCGCCCGTTTCTTCTGCTCAGTTATTGCGCTATGCATGGCGCGATGAGTAGCTTGAAGTTGACGTGAGACTTGCGGACAGGCCTTTCCCTACTTGACCAACACAGGAGCAGCCGTGCGTCCCCTCCCTCCCTCCCATCTCCTCTCCTCTCTCTCCTACCCGCGCTAACACGCTCCCGAGACAGACCGGCGGAGGCGACATCCCCTCCCTGACGTGGCACATCTTCGACTCCTCGACGCCTTTCGAGCTGGAGGGACTGACTGTCGTCCCTCTTCCCGGTGCGTCCAGCCTACCTCCTCCTTCTCCCCAGCCCTTTCTCTCACTATCTCGCTGCTTCGCTTCGCTCACGCGCGGCTCGCTAACGCTCGCCCCTCGCAGTCCACCACGGCAAATTCTTCACCACCCCTCCCTCGCCCTACCCCTGCCTCGGCTTCCTCTTCGACTCCCAACTCGCCTACATAAGCGACGTCTCCCACATTCCTGATGAGTGCTGGGACGTCCTTTCTCAACACGTGTCTTTGCGGCCGCTGCGGAAGGAGGTGGAGAACGGGCATGCGAACGGCGCGGAGGAGAAGCCGAGGTTGAAGGCCCTCGTGATTGATTGTCTCAGGATTGAGCCGTTCACGAGTCATTTTGGGATTGGACAGGCCGTGCATGCGGCGCAGAGGATTGGGGCTGAGAGGACTTACCTTGTGCGTTTGCGTTCTCCCTCCTTTGCCTCTCTCTTCCTGCTCCCGACGAGAATCTCTCGGTGCTCGCTCGCTCGCTAACGCTCTCTCGCTCGACTTGAGCAGATCGGTTTCGGCCACCGAACCTCCCACACCCTCTGGCACTCGCTCTCCCTCACCCTCTCCTCCGCACCCTCCTCGCTTCCCCCTCTTCCTCCCAACCTCCCAATCGACCCCTCAGTACCCATCCCTACCCCCGAACATGCATGGGAGAACTACGGCGGACATCCCGACCCTACGAAAGAAGATGAGTCGGTGTTCGTTGAGAGGGGGAGGTGGGCGGTTGAGAGTTGGCTCGCGGCGAGGGCGGCGGAGGGGGAGGAGGTCTTGGGAGCGGGTACGGGGGAGGAGGGCTTGTGGGTTAGACCGAGTAGGGATGGGATGTGTGTTGAGCTTGGAGCGGAGGGGGAGGGCGTGAGGGATGATGAGTATGATTAGAGGGGCGGAGCGGACGGCGGCTCTGTAGAGAAAGTAGAGGATGGTAGAGTAGACTGCATTGCGTGTTTCGTCATCTCGAGCAGGTGCGGGACCCTCGAGCGAGACGGACGAGTTTGCGAAGAAGTTGCGAGTCGGCACGCTCACCTCGTTCATCTCGTCCCAGATCTCAGGCGTCGCTGGAAGGCCTCGCAATACAGACTCAGAAGCTTGCCTCTACACCCGCAACAAAGGAAACGACTCCCTCGCTCGACGCTTCTGCTGCTCGTCCTCGCTCAGTACCTCTCGCCAAAGTACCGCCTCGCCATCCTGTACGTCCCCGCCCTGCCCATCGAGCGCTCAGCATGCTCCTCATCCCTGCGACCATGCCTAGAGGGAGGACGCCCAACATCCGACTGTTCACGCTGCAGACTCGGGACGTCGAGTAGGAAGGTCGCTGTTCCTCGCACGGCGGTGGCTGCTCGAGCGCTGTTGCGGGTGACCCCGCGACCGCGGTGGATTCGCGGGCGGACTCGATGAGCGACCATCACGCTCTTCGTCGTCACTGTCGTCGCGCGAAGGAGGAGGAGGTTGGCGACTCGAGACGCGGGTTCAGGGCGCTCCGAAGTCGCCATCGTCGGAGTCTTCGTCTGAAGATGTCAAATCGAAAACGGGCTGGTGCGCTGCTTCAGAGGCGGGCGGAAGACGCGGACGGTGGTCCAGGACGATCGGGATGTGACCGGTGTGGGAGCTGGAGGAGGTCGAGCGGTGCGGTTCCCCGTCGTAGTGCGGGCTGTCACAGTAGTGCTTCTTGAAGGACTTTTCGGCGTCGGCGATGCGCTTCTTGATCCACGTGAGGACAGATTCCTGCGATGCGCTCGATCCGCGTGAGTTCTACGGTCTCTGTGAGCGAGGTACCGTGATGATCCCGCAGTACGCACAACTGTGGAGTCTCTTGTTGCGTTGTCTGTGAGGGCCGTCAGCCTGGAAAGACTGTTGAAAGCCGTGAATGAGGGAGCCAAACTAACGGAGCTTGAAGATGACCCATCTCTGCGTAGCACCAGACGGTCAGTCATGCCTCGTACTAGAAAGACACGGAGAGGGCGAGGCAAAGACTCACGGCATCGCTGATGTGCTTGATGAGCGTGAACATCTCGAACGCCTGTTTCTCCAACTTGCGGTCCGTCACCAACACTTCCTCGCGCTCCTGCCAGAAAGCGAGCTGGTGTTTAGATTTGCTCTGCTTGGCTTCGAGCTTATCGAGCACGCGGGCGTTGCGGGTACCCTCTGTGAGGAGTGCAATAGCTGGCTCAGCACCTTTTCGTCAAAATTTGCAACGAGTGAACGTACGAATCTGACGCTCAAGCGACTCTGTTTTGAAAGGCAGAGTGAGCTGATGAGCTAGGAGGCCGACCGGCAAGCTGGGAGTGGCAACGCACCTAGTCGCTCGGAACACTCCCAGCGTCGCCAGACAACATACACGAATCCGGGAGGGTTGTCGAGTGTCTTGAGCTTGTCGAGGTCTGTGTAGGGTGTCGAACGTCAGTGCCGCCTCAAAGAACGACTTAGTGAGCGCGGACAGACTCTGCTCGACTGGAACACATGCGGGAGGCAATTAGCGAACTCCAACGTCCAGGCGAGCGGGTGCGACTCACCCAGATCCATCTCGTAGCGGCACTTGCGATATTCCTCCATCGTTCGAACGTGGTACAAGCTTGGTTGGTCGCCTTTCTGCTCCCCACCAGCGAGTGAGGCGTTGTGGGCGAGCACCATGCCCAGCGCACGGCGAAGGTCCTCAGGAGGATCGGCGTTCTCAGCGGAGGAGCTCATGGCGAGAGGGCGCTTGTGAAGCTGAAAGAGCACGAAAGGGAGGGGAGGAGGAGAGAGAGGAGGAGGAGGCGCAACGAGGTCCGCGGATTCCCCGAACGATCTGAGCGCCGTCATCACGTTGCGTCTCGAGATCGTTCAAGTGTAGCTGACTTGCCCTCCAGTAAGGCGGCGCAGGGTCATGACGAGAGAGCGACACAAGAGCATAACGCGCGAACGGATTGCGATCTGAGAAGGCCACAGAACTCGCCCGCTCTCGTCCCATCGCCTTTCATGCCTGCCGAGGACCGCTTGAACAGTCTACTTGCAGTCAGGAAGCTCTACGAGTTGCCGAACAAAGCCTGAGGGGGCGTCGAAGGCCCGTCAGCTGCTCCGCCTTCAATACCTCTCGCCAAAATACCTCCTCCTCATCCTGTACCGTCCCGCCTTGCCCAATGCGCTCTCAGCCTCTTCATGCCGTCCGTGACGCGAAGGCGGACGCTCGAGCCCGGAACCAGCCGGCGGCTCGGGCGCCTCCGGCAGGCTATCGTGCGGGCGGTAAGAGAGGGTGATAGAGTGGCCGGCCAGCTGCGGCTCGCCCGCAAGACCGGGAGGAGGCGAAGGAGTACGGGATGGCGCGCCATTGACCCGCTTCCAGATTGACGAATGATCGTGCTCGGCGTCGCCAATGATGTATTCTGTCCAGTGGATAACGTTGGCCTGTGTAGCAGCCCGAGTGGACGAGGTTCAGCGCTGCGCACAGGAAGCAATGAGGAGGACTCACAATCGTGGCGAGTCGCGTGAGCAAGTGTTTGCGCTTGGCTTCGTCGCGGCACCTTTCCGCCTCTCCCTCTCCTGCGAGGCGGCAAACGGATCAGCTCTCAATGCGGAACGTTTCGAATGAGCCGTGACAGACGTTGCTGGTCTAGAGAGTCATCACGAGGAGGCGTCAGATACGGAGCGAAAGCGGAAGGTAGGTCGAGAGAGAACGTACGGAGCTTGACGACGACCCATCTCTGCGCAAATCGTTCGTACCCAGTCAGCGTTGCTCAGACTCAGAGGAAACTGGACTACGCACCGCGTCGTACGCATGATCAACCTGCTGCCATATCTCGTCCGCAACCTTGCGCGCGGCCGGACCCTCGAACCGCTCGTCCCGGATCGCCCTCCATTCGTGCAAGTTGTGCTCGGCAAGACGGTGCTGTTTAACCAGCTCTTGCATCTCGTTGTCTCTGGCATGGCCTGCGAGGCTTGGGCGTATTAGCGTGGCGATACGGGTTGGTGAGAGAGAGAGGGAAGGACTCCTCACGCATCTCGTCCTGCAGCTGCTCTACTCGCGACGGGAGGGTAAAGATCGAGTTTGGAGAGGTCATGGGGAAGGAGCAGACGTACTTATTTCGTTCTTGAAGTTCCAGCACTGCCAGACAGGCCAGACAGAGCCGTTGGTCTTCTGATCAATCTCCCGCAGCTTGGTGACGGCTACGAGGGGTTTAACGAGAGACGTCAGCTCGAGCCTGTACTCGTCGAGAAAGAGAGCGCGCACAAGTTTCGACTGCGTAACCAAGCGAGGCGGGGAAAAAGGCGTCAGCTTCATCCTCCTCCCTCCTTGCGAATGTTCCGCTTCTCGAAACCCACCCATGTCCATCTCATACTTGCACTTCCTCACCTCCGTCACGTCCTTGTCCACCTCGCCCTTCTGGTCCTTCATCAGCTCGATCAAACTCGGTCGCGCAGCGTGCGAGCCGTCGTCCCACGACCTGACGAATGACTTGGTCAAGACGTGGTGGGCGAGTTGGGGGCGTAGGTAAGGTTCGCGCTTGGGCATTGGGGGCGATGGAGAGGGAGGAGGTGGGAAAGAAGCGAGCGAGAAGAGGTTCGTCGAAGTGTTCGCGAAGAGGTCGAGGTCCGCGGATCTTCCGATGCCTGTACGAGCTTTGGTCGAGCTTATCGGAGCTCGAGCCGCAAGAAGGACTAGTGAAGGAGGTGAGCGAAGCCAGCGAGTCGAGCACCGAGCGAAAGAAAAAGACGCGCGCTTCCTCGCCCCCCCTTCCTCCATTCTTGAATCGCGCGGTCGAGACGGACACGAAAACAAGACTTCTTGCACGACTCGATGTGGAGACTTCTTCTTCTTCTGTGTGAGGTGAGATGCTAGAGACACGGTGCTTCGGCGGCGTGCGAGGAAGTGGAGGGTATGCGACATGACGAAAAGGGCGAGTTGGTGGTCGAGTGAGCCGAGTCGGAGGACAGGAGGGATGGAGGGCGGGTTTTACTTGGGAGGGTTGCGGCCCTTCAAGTCTCCGCCAGCCTTGTGAGGCTCGTCCTTCGGGTCTTCGCGGATTCCCTGCGATTCGCCATGTTCGTCAGCTCGTCTGGATTGGCGGTTTAAAGAGGGGAAGGGGACGAACAGCAGCCATCTTGGCGTCCTCCGTCTGCGCGCGAGAAATGGGAAGATCAGTTCCGCGGTGAAGGCATCAAAGGGAGTGGGAGTTGGAAGCGCACCTTGGGGTGCATGGCGACCTGCATGTTCTTCACGGCGGGTGTAGGGGGCGTAGCCTGCAAGCGAGCGAGTTCGGCATCAGCTTCCCCTCCCGATCGACTCCATCGCCCTCCCTCCTCAGCAGCTAGTGAGCGGCACTCACAAAGACACCGCTGAAGTACCCTCCAACAAGGATGACGAGCGCTGCGCCGATGTAGAAGGGCGTGCGGGACGGGCCTCGCTCCTGGTTGATCGGCTCCTGCGCGGCGGGGCCGTTTTGCTGGGCGTAGGTGCGCTGCGTGCGTGAGAGAGGGTGTCAGTACGAGTGATCTCAGCCTGCAGGATCTCGTCTGGGCTTGGAAAAGCGAGTAGGGTGTCCAGGTGGGGATGAATGGACTGACGGCGAGACGGGGGTTTGCGAGGGATGCGCGCGGGATGGCGGCTGAGCGGAGAGTGGTGTGTGCGAGCATTGTAGTCGTTGTAAGCTTTGTTGTGAGGGTTAAGCGAGCGTGTGAAGGAGGAGAGCAAGCGAGAGCAAGGCGACGAGAGCGAGGAGGACAAGGTCGCGACGTCATCGCTCCGCACTTCGCATCACTCGTTCTCTCTTTCCTTGCTGTTGCTGTTCACTTCCAGCGTCGCTCCCGTGGTTATTCAGCTAGACAGAGACGAATAAGACACCCTGGCATAGCCGGACCGGACTCGCGCGCTTGCAACCACGTTTTCTCGCCTCGAAGACGGCCATTCATGCTCAGCCATCGTCACTGCTGGTACCGACTACCTCGCTACCGACTCGAAACGACGCTGCAACTACGCCGACGTCGCGCTCGCCCCGCCCCGGGCCGCCTGCCAGCCTCACCGGCATATCCGCCCAGCCTCTCCTCCCTCTCCTCCTCTCTCTCCTGCTCTACGTCGCAGTGCTAGACTGAACTCACGCATGTCCGACCTCCGCCGCGGCCTCGTCAAAGACCAGCTCTCGGCAGCGCGGCACGCTCGTGCGCAAGTAGAGGGCAGACCCTCGCTCAAACCGCTCGGGAAGGACGACAGGAATCGCTGTTTGTATGCGATGGACTTGAGTGGGTACGAGGATTGCGCTTGAGGCTTGGGAGAGGCTGACTCCCTGCGATTGGCTGGCGGCGACAGTCGAGCAAAGTGCGTGTCCTCGCTCCGCCTGCGCCCTTCCTCGTGCTTCCCAACCTTGAGACTGCCGCTGACCTTGCGCGCGTCTTTGCAGGCTTCAACAGACTGTTCGCGATCGACGAACTGCAAGGCCTCGCGTGGATCGCCCTCCATTGCGAGTTCCTCTCGACGACCGAAGGTGCGCCTCTCCTGCCCTGCTCGCTCAACCTGGCTGCCAATGACAACTGACGACCGGAACAAACGGCACAGACAACCTCCGCAAACGCCGAGGTCCGCTCCCCTTCCCTCTGTCCCTCGCCTCTCCTCTGCTCGCTGCTCACCTCCTCGAACGACAGACAAGACCACCGACGTCTCGCTCCGCGCCGAACTCAAGGCCGAGCGCACTCAAGTACTCGGTACGCTCGTAAGGTGGCAGAAAGAGTGGGAAGCGCTCGGGATTGAGCGGAAGAGAGAGGACGAGGTGCTGACGTTGATTGCGCATGCGAGCGATTCGGTGCGTCTGACCTTTTCTTGCGACTCGAGCGACACAAGGAGCGACTGACTTGTGGGTTCCGTCGCGCCGTCGTTGCGCAGAAATTGCTGGTTGAGAGGCTGCGTACGTCGGCTTTGCTTCTTCCACTCTCGTGCGGCTTCGCTGAGCACTCGTCGCTCTCCTGAACACCTTTCAATTCTTCTTCGGCCGCATTGCAGTCAAGCGCAGTACGTCCTCCTTCTCCCCTCGCCCGTCTCGCGTCTCGCTAACCCTTCCCCATCCCTTCCCCTTCGAACCAGAAAAGCGCCAATTGAAAGACTTCGAATTGGCTGACCCTGCAGGCTTCTCTCACGACGACTCGGAAGACGGCGAGGAGCCCACAACGGAGGAAGTAAGGCGGAGGGAGTGGGAGAGCGAGGTGGAGGCGGCGAAGAAGGAGGTTGAGACTGTCGTACGTCCCTCGTGGCTCTCTCTCTCTCACGTCCAACTCATCTCATGCGTGTGTCGAGACACAGGAAGCGGTCCTTAACTACGTCACAGCGTCGCTCATCCTGCCCGCAGGCGAAACGTGCGAAACCCGCTACCACGACGCGCCTCCCCCTCCTCCCTCCGCACCAGCTCGGCGCGCTACCCACCCCCATCCAGTTCGAGCCGGCCACGCCCGGAGGCCGACTCTTGTCCAGGCTTCGCTCGAGGACGGGAAGAAGATGGGAAGCGGAGAGGGAGAGGGGTGGTGGGGGTTGCTGAACTTCTTCAAGCGGAGGAACACGGAGCCGGCGCTCTTGTCGGCGGGTGAAGGTGAAGAGAGGGAGCTAGGGAGGAGGGGAAAGCGGGAGGGGACGTATAGGATGAGGAGGAGGTATCTGGGCGAGGGGTATTGAGCGGCTGTGGCGTGCTGGACGCGCTGTAAAAAGGGGTCTTCGAACCATGATCGTCGGCGAGAGAGCATCATAGGAGTCTGGACGATGTGCGAGGAGACGCACAGAGCGGACGAGATGAACGACGAGAAGGTCGTCTCTTTTTGCGCTCGCCCGCTCTCCTTCCGCCTGAAACGGGCAAGCGACCCCCACAGAGACGGATAGATCTTGTGCAGCTTGACGTGCAGAAAAAGGGGAAGGACGAACGAAGCGAAGCAGACGAGGAGGAAGGCGAACAAGAGGAAGATCTAGTATTGCCAGCCGAAGTACCGCATCCCAGCCCTGTACCCACCACCAGACCGACGCGCCTTAGCAAGCGCCTGCTCCGTCGTCGACCCAGCGTGCTCGACATTGCTGAGCCCGCTGTTCGTCCGACGAACAGGTGCAAGCTGGCCCACCGCTTCCTGCCTACGCCGATGCTTCTCTTGCGCGGTGAAAACCTTGTGCTGGGTGAGCCGACGGTTGAGGAGGTGCGGGCCGGCGAGAGGACGGCGGCATTCCTCGCGCGCCTGGTCGGCGAGTCGACCCTGTACGCGGGACGATCAGCGCGCAAGTCGAGCTGCGAACGGTCTAGCACTGGACTCACGACCTCACGCGCAAGCGTCCCGTTGCCGTTCTCGATACCTGTAACCGTCAAACAGAAAGTCAGAGGGCTGGTGAGCTTAGCGAGGGGAGAAGGCGGAGCATAACGCGAATTCTCGTTCTTCGTGACGAGAGTGTGTCAGCATAGTGTTCTGCAGTCCGCAAGAAGCGTGAGTTGCGCACCGATCGTGTGGACGGCTTGGTACTGCGGGAGGGGAGAATGCGTCAATTGAATGAGTAGCTGTCACGCACCTCTCTCTCCTGCCGAGCAAATAAAGCCGAGATCTTCTCGTGATGCGGCAGAGTCTTGAGCGTCTTGCGAAGTTCGCCAAGCTTCTCGGACGCTTCGGCGTGCTCCACCCCTGCGGACAAGCGAGAAGGTGAGTAGGCTGATGCAGTAGGCGTCGCGTGGGGCAGCATACAGCCCTCCTCATACGAAGCTGGAGACGTCCGTGAGCGGTCAGCGGAGGAGAGAGCGGGAGACTGGCGAAGCGGGACAGACCCAGCTCGTATTCGACCTCTTCGATTTCTTCCAGCTGCTGGATCGTTGTCTCAGCAGCACCACCGTAGGACCTCATGTTGTCCCAAGCTAAGGAACGCGGGAGTGGGTCAGCCTTAGCCAAGGGGAAACGAGCTTAAGCGGGACAAGCGCACCTTTCTTGTCTGCGCAGACCCGTCTCGCACGCCGTATCAGCGAGCTTCAATAGCGGCTGCCTGGCTTCAATAGCGGCGGCCTGTTCTTAGAGCCTCGACGCACACGCCACGAGATGCCCCTCAACCTCTTTCAAGATCCCCGCTCGTCCGTCTGCCATCTTGAAGCCAAGGGTCGTTGAATCGGGGTCGTGCTAGAGTCAGAGCGATGGAAGACGGCGCCGATCACGTAGCAGTTGATCGAGGAAGAAGAACAAGAACAGGCTGGCGTTCGAGGAGAGCAGGACATGAGCAGGAAGTTCGGCAAGTCCGCGGACAGCACTCAAGATGGCTGACGAAGCGACGGACGCGGGCGCGGCGGATTGAGCGGTTTATCGGGCCTGTAAAAGGTCTTAAAAAGCAGCGCGTAGGCTTCTGAGCTGTGAGAGCGAGCAGCCTGCGGATGGCGGGAGCGCAAGAGGGGAGCGAGCGAGTTGGCGGCCACCACGACTCCGTCACACCGTCTGAACGGCTGTGGCGCAGCTTGGTGTGCTTGATCAAGCTACTCAGACTCCCTTACAACCGCTCGACCCGCCCGCCTCGCTCGTTCTCTCCACCCATCCTCATCAGTTGTCCCACCTCTTCCTCGACAGAACTTCGTCACATTGCCACGCAGGGCCCAGCAGATACGCCAGAGCCACCTCCGAGCACACTCACGAGGGCCTGGCAACCCCTCCTCAACCTCTCGCACCTGCATGGCGCGCGCCAGAGTTCCTCCTCGCCTTCGGGTCCCTCTCGACGCCGCAACTCGCGATGGAATACTTCAGCCTGAGCCCTTTCTTTGACAAGGCGAGCAACAATGCTCGGCTGCGGATGCAGATGAGGTTCTCGCGAGGCGAGATGAAGGGAGTTCATGAGGAGGCGGAACTCGGGTGCGTGCACGCTGTAGACGGGTCCTGCATGCCAGATGAGTCTCGTCGATGGGTGCATCGTGGGTGTGCCGGGCGACTCGACACGCTAGCGCGAGGAGAGACAGAACGAGGAGAACGTGAGACGGTCGTCGTTTCTGCTCGATGGCGTTTCTTCCGCGCAAATGGACAAGCAGCCTTTAGAGCCGATAGATACTGAGTGCAATGCGCGCCATAAGCTAGAGGGAAAGGAAAGGAGGAACAGGGAAAGGGGAACGGGGAGGGCGGTCTAGTAGTGCCAGCCGAAGTACCGCAATCCGGCCCTGAAGCCGCCGCCAGACCGACGCGCCTTAGCAAGCGCCTGCTCCGCAGCCGGCGAAGGAGTCCGCGGAACGACCTCGGTGTGGCTGAGCAAGCTGGTCTTGCGACGCGACGGTCCGCCCCTGCTCGCGACCTCCCTGCGTTCTTGCTTACGCCGAGCGTTCTCCTTCACCCAATTGGTGTGCTGCTTGTTGACGAGAGTCGTCCCCATGTGGCGGGTCTGCCCAGCTTCGGCATACTCGTATGCGCCATCGATGAGCGGGTTCTGTTGCGGGATCCGTCGAGAGATCAGGTTCACGACGAACGCACCGATAACGAGCCAGCAGGAGTTTGAAACGCACAATCGCATCGACTATGTCGATCTCTCCCTTCTTGCCACCTGCACACGCAAGGGAAGGAGCGTTCAGGAGAAGAAGTAAGGGAATGGACAGTCGCGGGCGTACAGTTGGCCTCTGCAGGAAGTCAAGAGTCAGTTGTGTGTTGCAAAGGCAGAGGTGCCACAGACTCACGGATCGCGTACACCTCTCGCATCTGTCGAGTATGCGGCGCAAGCGTTAGCGGCCGCTGTTTGCACGAGAGGGCAGGCAGCGGGCGCACCTGCTTCTCTTGCTCAGCAAACAGTGGCTCAATCTTGTCGTGGTTGTCGAGGGTCTTGAGAATCTCGCGTAAATGCTTGATCTCAGCTTCAGCCTCTTCCACCTCCTCGGCTGTGTGTGTGCGATGTTAGCGGAGTCCCCAAAGTGCTCGTCGCGCGTGCTGGACTCACTATCGTCCATGGACGCTGGAGGAGTTCTCGAATCAGCTATCAGATCAAGAGCAGAAGCCAAGGCGCGAACGTACGAATGTCGCCCTCTCGTTGCGATATGTCCTCCAGAACGTCGAGTGCTGCGCGCCCAGAGCCGCCGTACCGACCAATGCGGTCCCATGCTGCAGATTTCGAGCAGTTCAGCCTTGGGATTGCCTGCACGAAGCGGACCGAAGTTGACATACCGACTTTGTCTGCGCAGGTTATGAGCGCCATCGACCAGCGTCAGCGTTGACGTCAGCGTTGTGGCGCGTAGTACGGCATAGTCGTAGGACGCACAATGTTCGATGTGACGGCGGACCTCCCGGAGGACTTCTTCACGGCGTTTGATGGACTCGGACATAGTCGTAAGCGCGGCTGATCGGGGAAGAACAGCAGGGGCCGAGGTGTGCGAGCGATGTGACTTGTGGCGACTACGAGAGAGCGTGGAGAATGTTGAAGAGGCAAAGGAGACGGTGGGAAGGGAGGCTGCGTGTGGTCCGGATTGTCCGTGGAGTTCGAGCGCACGAGGTCCGCCTCCACGTTCGTCCGCTGTCGGTCAGCAGCGTCTAACTAGCGTAATGAGCATCCAGAAAGCGTCGCAAGCAAGGTGCGGCTGCAAAGGGAGAGGCCGAAGTCGAAGATCGCAGGCAGCGATGCAAACCTGCGGGAGGTCGGTAGCTTTGCCGGTAGCGAGCAACTAGAGTTCAGATCCATTTGAGGTGGCCTGCGGACCGCAAAGCTGAGCTGGCAGGCGGGGCGAGGGCGAGGGCGAGGAGATTGCTTGGAGCGGGTGAGGCAGAGGGTAGACGTCGGCGGGTTGAGCGGACCGCCTTCAGTGTACACGAAGTCCTTGGCGAGACTGTAAGGCGCAAAGAGCCGCCAACACGAGAAGCAGGCTTTAGCGAAGGAGAGAGAGAGGCGAACTGGCGATTCGGCCTTGACCACGTCCCCCTCGCACCGCTGGAAGGGGTGTGAAGGACGCTACGGTGTTCCTTTGCGCTGCTTGGACTCTACGACGGTCGCCCGACTCGCCCGCCTCTCTTCCCCTCTCTGCCCATCCTCATCAGTCGCCCCACCTCTTCTTCGACAGAACTTCGCCACAGTGCCACGCAGGGCTCAGCAGACTCGCCAAAGCCGCTTTAGGGCACACCCGCGATGACTCAGCAACCTGCCCTCAACCTCTCGCACCTGCAATGGCGCGCACCCGAGTTCCTCCTCGCCTTCGGGTCCCTCTCGACGCCGCAACTCGCGATGGAATATTTCAGCCTGAGCCCGTTCTTCGACAAGACGAGCAACAATGCTCAGCTGCGGATGCAGATGATGTTTTCGCGTGGCGGGATGGAGGGAGTCGACGAGGAGGCGGAGCTCAGGTGCGTCGCGAGGGAGGAGGCGCTCGTCCAGCTCAGATACTCTTCAGCTGACTGAGCTGTCGTGTGACTTGCGTGTGCAGACGCTTCGTCGGTCTCGAGTTCGTCATCGCCCACTCGACTCCGCCCGACCTGTTCATCATTCACAAGCGGAATCGCACCTCGCCCACCGAGTCGACCGTCCTCGGCGCGTTCTACATCCTGAACGGGAACGTGTACCAGGCGCCGACGCTGTTCGAGGTCCTGAACGAGCGGATTGTGCGTCGCTGCCGTCCAAACGACCGCGAGACTGGACTCTTTCCGGGCGTTGCAGAAGTTCTTAACCCGTCTTCTTGTACAGCTCACCTCCCTGCACGCCCTCTCTACCTCTCTCAACTCGCTCACCTCCCTCAAGCCGCACTGGACCCCCTCCAAATTGTATAAGTGGGACATCAAGCCTCCACCACAAGTCTCGACCGCTCTCGCAGCCGCAGCAAATGGCGAACCAGCCGCAGAAGACACGGCGATGCGAGAGGATGACGCTGCCGATGGTGTTGAGCAGGAGAAGGGTGCGGTCGAAGCGCCGGTCAAAGAGGAAGACGAGGAGAAGGAGCGGCCGGGAGAGGCGTTCAACCCGCTGCTCTTTCGGGCGCTGCAAGATGTCGCGCGGACGATGGAGCAGCCGCAGGTGGCGGGGGCGTGAATAAGTTCGAGCGAGGAGACTGGCTGAGCGATGTACGTCTTCCCCGCCTCGTCCTGTGCTGCACTTGCGACTGACTGCCGATGCTACGCGCAGAGATTGCGCATCTGCCTGTTGTATCATTACGCGATCCAGCCCGCGAGTCCTTTGCACCGGACTATTCAGCGAGACTTGTCCTGGCATCCTCGCGCTACGTCCCTTCGCCCTCGAGATTCGCTGGGCTCTTCCGTTTCCCAAGCGAGAGTGATATGCTGGCTGGACTCGTGACCGCTAGCGTTCCAACACGTTCGGAGGCTGGCTCATCTGTCCTCGCCAAGTTGACATCCGCCTTTCTCCGTTGACAACTCTTCTCACCTCGCTGGATCCTGCTCAGACTCTGCTCAAGCCTTCGGCATGGCTCTCGCTGCGCGTGCGGAGCCGCCCAACGGTTCTGCCGCCACGCTCGACTCGCCAGCCGACGAAAGCGATGAAGTCGCGCTGGCCCCTCCTCAAGCCGTGCGTCCCTCTGGTTCGGTGCTGCCACGCTGTGGCGGTACCAAGGAGACACGAAGAAGCCATGCTCACCCGCGGGAGCCTCCCCGTCTCGCAGTTCTTGCACTTCGCCCGCTCGCTTGCCCCCACTTCGACTCGCCGAGACGCCCTACGAGCTTGGGACAGGACTACAGACGTCGCAGTGAGCTTTGAGAAGGACGGCAGCATCAGTATGGAGAGCCAGAGAGTCCAAGGTGCGTTCGAAATCAGGTTCAACGAACTCTCGCTCGACTGGACCGTTTCGCAAGCTGCTCGCTGACTGGATCCGCTCCTTCCCTCCCTCGCAGCCGCTCTCGGACTCCTTGTCGACCTGCTTGAGACGCCCAACGCAGACTCTCTCTCCTCGCCCATCGCAGCAGGCTCGAAAGCCGCTTCTTCGACCGCACAGAAGAGGCCGCTCTCGCCCGCTCCCGTCCTCGACCTCGACCCGATGCCGACTCACAAGCGCGTTCGTGCGGGCGCAAGGGCGGCGGGGCGTGCGAAGGGTGTGAACGGGACTGCTGGCGGCATGAAGAAGGGCAAGGGCAAAGAGAAGGAGGTCGCGGTCGTCCTGGGCTCGTCGGACGAGGAAGAGGTCGACCCATTGGGCGACAGCAGTATCGAGATCATCTCGTCGCCGGTCAAGGCGAGGCGCGGAGTCCGAGTCAATAAGGGCAAAGGTCGCGCTATCGAACTCGAACCCTCGCCCGAGCCTGCTGCAAAGCCCGCTGGCGAGATCCTCCTCATCTCCGACGATGACGAGCCATTTGACAACCGCGCCGCAACCGAAGCGACTCCTCCCGCCGCCGAGCCGACTCCCCTCGAACAGGTCCTTTTCCTCATCCCCGACGTCCTCCCCGACCACGCTCAAGCGCTTCTTCAGTCTCCCGATTACGGCGGGAACGTCGAAGCTGTCGTCTACCACCTGCTCGAGCAGAACGGCAAGTACCCCAAGATTGAAGAGCCGGAGAATAAGGTCGTGGAGAAGAAGGACTGGCTCGACGTCCAGGACCGCAGGAGGACGGAGACGCCGAGTCCGTTGTACCGCAAGATGGCGTGAGTTGCGGCCCGTCGTATTTTTCAGAGCGTCTCTGACGCACTTGATTGCGCGCAGCCTCGACCACCTCTACGCCGCTTTCCCGCTTCTCCCCGCCGCCTTGATCAAGAAGACCTTCGTCTCGCCCGATTGCGCCTCTTTCTTTGCTCCGACATACCAGCTGCTCAATAAGCGTCTCGAAGCCGGCGAGTACGACGCGCAGAAGCTCAGGAAGGGGAGGAAGCCGCCGAAGAAGACGATGAGGCTGAGCATTACGAATACAGTGGATGAAGAAGGGAAGTCGCATCGCGTCGTGGAGGAGATTGAGGCAGAGGTGCCGGAAGAGTTGAAGCAGGAGATCGAGTGGCTGAAGGCTCGCTTGCGTGAGTTCCGATTCGCTCGCTTTTCCCCCCGACTTCTACTGATCGTGACCGCTCACACAGTCCGGGAACGCCACGAGCGCCTTCGTGCTGAACGCGAGGAGAAGGCTGCGCAGGAAGAGCGCGAAAGGGTCGAGTTGCTGAACGAGCAGGCGAGGCAGAACGGCGAGGCGGTCGAATGCGGCTGCTGCTTCGATGAGGTTGCGCTCGAGAACAGTGGTGCGTACGGCCTTATCGCAGACTCAAATCCGCAAGATCTGACAAGGTTGCCCTCTCCCGCAGCGCAATGTGCCGAAGGTCACCTCTTTTGCAAGACTTGCGCCGTCGCCAATGCGAGCGACCGCATCGGGCGTCGTCAAGCGGTGCGCTCGAGTTTACTCTCCGTCGAACAGGCTCATCGAGCTGAAGTTTCTCTCTCGCAGGTCCTCCCCTGCATGACCGCCGAATGTACTGCGACCTTCCCGCCCGCCACCTACTCGTCCTTCCTCCCGCCTCGAATGATCGAGTCGCTCGCTTCGATCGCTCAGCAAGTCGACCTCGACACCGCATTCGACGGCGTCGACGGGTTCGAGAAGTGCCCGTGCGTTCGTTCGCCTCCTGCTTCTCCTTCTACTCGTGCTAATCTCGCCGATGCCTCGCAGCTTCTGCCCGTACGCCTGCTACATCGAAAATCCGCAAGAACGTCTCCTGCGTTGCGAGCGCCCCGAGTGCAGGAAGGTCACCTGTTGTCAGTGCAAGAAGGAGAGCCATCTCCCGCTGTCGTGCGTAGAGGCGGACAAGGACAGTCGACTTGCAGGCGTGCATGCGGTCGCTGGTGAGTCGAGTGTTTCGCCGTCGTGAGTGCATCAAGAGAAAGGCTTGCTGACCTCGCTCCCCGTTTCGCAGAGGCGATGTCGGCAGCGCTCATCCGCCCGTGCCCCTCCTGCAAAGTGCCCGCAACGAAGATCGACGGATGTAACAAGATGACGTGCAGCCAGTGCCACGCACATTGGTGCTACGTTTGCCGCAAGAAGGTGCGACCACGACTTCGAGCGATCGGCCATTCGGCTGACCTCCTTCTTGCAGATCACCAACGGCTACGCTCACTTCAGCCAGGCCACCTGCCCCCAATTCGACGATACAAGGATGCGCGAGCACAAGGAGGTCGAAGCCGCTCGCCTCGCCGCCCAAGCTGATCTCGACGACCTCACCAAGGCCGATGCCGCCGTCCTCGCCGACGAAGCGCCTGTCCGCGGCCCTCCCGTCTTTCCGCAACGTCCCAATGTCGTCCCAGGCGCCGCTGGCCCGCCGAACTTCGTCGCCGCTCCGCTTGCACCGGCCCAGGCAGCTCGGGACTTTCAGGACGTTATGGCTCGCGTCCAAGCGGCTCAGAATGGGATGCTGGCGGCTATCCTTGCATGGAGGCGGTGAGCGCGGTGGCGAAGTCGGGCGGAAGGAAGGAATGAAAGGGTTCGCATCGTGAGTTCCGCGTCGGTCGTCTCGCTTCTCCGTCGGCCTGCGAACTTACTGCGACACCCCGCAGGCATATTTCGCTCTCTCTCACGTTCGTGCTGTCCATGTCGTTGTCATTCATGCCGCTTCTTTTGCAATCACATCGCTTCTTTGCTCGTTCACGATTGACTCCTGCTAGCCCTCTTCTTAAGCTCGTCTCGTGGAAGCGACGGCACAAAGTGATAGTGATTGCACGACGGAAGAACGCATTAGAAGCCCTGCAAAGTCAGAGCGAGAGTAGTACACGCCTTCCCTCCGTTTCCTCGTCGCCCGTCCAGCAGGCTCTCCCCCTTCCTCGGTTCTGGTCAGTATGCTAGAGCCTCGCGCCCTTCGACTCGAGCACCTCGGCCTTGAGCATGTCCGCAAACTTCTCGGCAACCGCAATCACCGCCGCGACCTGTTTCTCGCTTGCAACGTCAGCTTCCCATCCAGCTCAGTAGCGAGGGAAAGTGAGACGTACGGGGTGGCCACTGACGGTGTCGGGGAAGACGCTGGCGTCGCAGACGCGGACGTTCGAGAGGCCGTAGACGCGGAGCGAGGGGTCGATCGCGCCTCCTTCCTCGCGCGGGCCTGTGTGCCATGCCCACCCGTCAGTCATCGCTCGAGAGTATGCAGGGAAAAAGAGCAAGCGAGACGCACCAATCTTGCAGCTCCCCATCGGGTGGTAAATCGTCTCGGCCGTCTCCCTCGCATGCTCAAGCAACTGCTCGTCCGTCGCGTTTGCGAACTCTTCGGGCGTCATCGAGGGCGAGGCGGGCTTGAGGAGGTACGAGGAGAGAGGGGCGGTGTTGGACATGCGGCGGATCAGGCGGAGGCCGGCGAGGAGGACCTGCGCGCAAGCGAGGACTTCCTGAGCATACGGGCCGGCCACGCAGTCTCGCGACGCTCGAGCTCGAGCAGGCGATAGACGAGCGTGAGGAAGCAACGAACGCACCTCGACGTCCCTCGAATCCTTCAAGTATCCCGGATCAATGAGCGGCATGTCCCACACGCTGCCGCTGCCGATCCTGACGCTCCCGCTCGAATGAGGGTGCAGGACCGTCGAGGCCATCGTGAAGTAGTCGCCAGAGGTATTGGGCGGAGGAGTGAGGGTGTGACTGCGTGCGAGGGAAGTTGAAGGTTAGTTCGGAGGCCTTCTCTCGAGCTTGTTGACCCCGTCCTTCGCAAGGCGAGACCAGGAGGAGGGACGGGAACGCACTTGAGGTACCAAACCGGCGCCGTGATAATCTCCAAATCCGCTCCGCTCCTCTCTCCCTCCTTCGCCCGCTTGACCACAACGTCACCCGCCGGCGAGACGTCCGACGAGCGAAGGAACGCGGCGGCTTCGGCCATGTTTGAGGAGAGCGGGCCTGTGCCGGTTGTGAGCCAGCGGATGAGGGAGGGGAGCTGTGCGTGGGCAGACGAGACCTCGCATCAGCTCATGCCTTTCTCCGGGAGCGGGAGAAGTCGAGATGAAGAAGCGGCGACGCGCAACGCACCGTCTTGACCGGATCCTTGACCCACTCCCAACTGCTCCCCTTCGTCGTCTCGAAGAACACCCCCGCAAGGACATGATCCTTCAATCCCTCTCCCACTCCGTCGTTCTCCACCTTGCACTCGACACCTGCCTTCTCCAACGTCGCGCGCGAACCGATTCCAGAGCATTGGAGGAGCTGAGGAGTCCCGAAGGATCCGAGAGAGAGGATCACGTCCCTCGATGCGCGCGCAACGAACCTTCCCTTCTTCGGGTCCTTGTCCTGCGCAAGCACGACTCCGACGCACTTTTCCCCGTCGGTGGAGAGGACGAGTCGTTCGACGGTCGTGCGAGTGAGGATGCAGAGGTTTGGGCGGGTGTAGACGGATGAGGGGAGGTAGGCGGCTGAAGTGGACGAGCGTTGGCCGCGCGAATCGATGTGCGCCTGGAAGCGGGTGATCTGGGCGTTGCGCGGGGCGGTTAGCGAGTGTGGAGAGAAGGGGGCAGGGAGAGGGAGAGAGGGAAACGCACGCCGCTCGTGTTGGTCGCGCGGTTCAGGTCCGCGTTGTGAGGGACGCCGACCTTGGGCTGTGCGACCCGGAACAGGCATACATCAGCTCTATGCACTCATCGCGAAGGCAAGTAAGAGGAAGGCGAAATGCTCGCGAACGCACCCCCGTCTCGACGAAAGCCTTGGTGATCTCGTTCGTCGCCGCCTCTCCGGGGTGGCGAGACTTCCACACTCCCTCCGTCCCGCGGTCCTACAATCAATCTTCCTGTCAGCCACTACTCGAAAGCAGGAGGAGAAAAGGGACGCACGGAACCGATTTCGGGCTGCGAAGCGTCGGGTACGAATCCCTCTGCTTTACGGAAGTAAGGCTCGAGGTTCGTCCATCCCCATCCCGTCGCGCCTTTCCCCTCCCACTGTCCCTTTCCGTCAGCCCTGCCAAACCGAGCGAGAGGGGGGAAAGAGGAGGAGGACGAACCCGCTCGTAGTCGCCCGGCGCACACCACTGCACGCACTGCGCGTTCATCGCCGAACACCCGCCGAGCATCTTTCCTCGCGGTTGGTAGAGCGCGCGGTTGTGCAGCGCGGGTTGGGGGATGGTGTGAGGGGCGTAGTCGGCGGGGGTTCTGCGCGCGGAGCGAGACCAGGGACTTTGTCAGTTCCGACTTGGAGGGAGAGGAGGAAGAGCAGTGGAGAAGGAGGGACGCACTTGAACAGGTTTGGCCATCCAGCAGGGATACGAGAGAAGAGGAGTTTCTGGTCGGATTCGCCGGCTTCGATGAGCAGGATGCGGAGGGTTGGGTCTTCGGAGAGCTGTGTGCGTGGGAGAGGGGGCCTTAGCGAATGGAGGCGGGAGGAGAAGGGAAGAAGGGGATGGGAGGAGGACCAGGAGAAGAAGGAGAGGAGAGGGGACGTACACGCGAAGCAAGGACGCATCCTGCCGTTCCACCTGTATCACCGACGTCGGCGTCAACGGAACAAGGTGGAGAAGGAGACGAATTTCGATGTCAGTCTCTGTCTTTCACGCCGCGCCGCACCCTCGCAGCTTCCGTCCTCCCCATGAGCAAGAGCGGACTGGCACGAACATACCTCCGCAAATCACATAGTCAAACACCTTCTCCCCCTCACCTCCCTCGCCCAACGTCCCGCGCGCATCGCTCGAGCCCTTCTCGGGCTCGACAAAGCGGTCGCAGAAGGTTGAGGGGGTGGAGATGCCTGCGTAGCGGGGTGCTGAGGCGGAGAAGGAGAAGAGCTGAGGGAGCGAGAGGGGCATCGTTGTTGTGCTCGAGTGCTGTGAGGGAGAAAGAGAAGGAGCAGGGAGGGGAAGAGAGGAAGTGGGGGCTGCGAGAAGAGAAGAAGAAGCGTGCGAAGGGTAGCGAGAAGAACGGGCGAGGCACGTGCAGGCGGGAGGGTCGCCGACTCGGACAGGCGGAACAGACAGCGAGCATGCCGGGAAGCAGGGAAGCAGCGTGTGAGCGAGAGCTGGGGAAGGCGAGAGGAGAGAGGGGCGAGAGGAGGGAGAAGTCGGCGACCACGCCGTGCGGCGGTCTGAGCGTTGGGCTGCGCCCAGATAGCGTCGTTGCGATGTCGTTGCCGTCGGTGTTGAGCCTGCAAGCGGAGTGTGAGCGCGCGGAAGAGGGCGAACGAGTGCTGCTCGTGACCTTGTTCACGCCCTGCGACGCGAGGGAGGCGCGCATGGCGACAACCACCTTCTCGGCGGGTCAGGCAGGCTGTGGTGAGTATTGGCAGGGTGTAATAGATTGTAATACTCTAGTAGTACCCACTGCCAGCCTCACGAAGGCGCTGAGCGAGAGAAGCGGCGTCGTCCACCTCGTCGCCCCAAACTCGCCCTTGTCCTCGTCCAACTCGGCTCACCCACTCGAGAGGCTCGCTGGAGACTGCTAGAGACTCGTGCTTACACGCACAGACACACACACGGCAGCGCCAACCACCCGCACGTCCACATCGCCTCGGACGGCCCTCCCTCTCCCCGTCAGTCAACCTCGCCGACCCCATCTCACCCAACACCCTCGCACACCCTCGCGACCACTCGGACGTACTCTCACAGCAATGTACTCGCCACTTGCACTCGTGCCAGCCGTATTGCTCGGCGTCGCAGCAGCCGCTCAGGGCGTCGCCGCTCAGGACTACTCGGGAGGAGGTGCAGCGTCTTCTTCATCGTGGAGTCAGCAAGCGAGTGGGAGCGCGTGGAGTAGCACGGCGGCTGCGAACGCAACGGGAGATGCATCGGGACAGGCGAATGCGACGGCATCGAGTGCGTGCCCTCGCTCATTCCTCCCCTACCCGACGGCTAACACGGACTCTCCTGCGACAGACACGGCCGCCGCACCCGTCTCGACGTCGACGCAGAACCCCCTCATCCCTTCCTCCATCTCGCCCAAATGCCAGTCCTTCCTGACCTACCTCAACTCGGCCTCGTCCCTCTCTGCCTGCACAACCCCTCTCCTCTCCGCCCTCTCCTCCTTCCAGCCCTCGCCCGATTCGCCTACAACCTACACCGCATCCTCAGACCAAGTCCACACGGCTATCGAGAACCTCTGTTCCCAGCCCTCGTGCGACGACTCGCTCGTCCGCGGCATGCTCGGCGGGTTCGTGGCAAACTGCACAGCCGAACTCGAGGCGAAGAACCAGGTCGTGCTTGGATCGTACGACGCGTTGTATGTCCTCGAGCCCCTGAGGGAGGCGGTTTGCTCGACCGACTCGTCGGGCGCGTTCTGCGTCGAAGACATCGCAGCGGGTAAAGTCCCCTCGACCCCGTCCAACACCACCGACTCGTCAAACTCGACGACCACGCCGGTGAACATGACCGCCCTCGCCTCCTCGGCTGCGGCCTCGTCGACCGCCCAAACGGGATCGCAACTCGCCGCGCAGACGTACACCATCCCCGTTCCCGCCCCGCAGGCGCTCTACGTCCAGATCACCAAGGTCGCGAAGCGGTGGTACAGGTTGGCCAAGAGGCAGTACCAAGGCGGTTCGTCGAGCGGGTCGGGGTCGAGTTGGTCGAGCGCCGGGTCGTCCACTGCGGCGTCCCCCTCGTCCTCATCCTCGAGCGGATCGAACTCGACCGCCCCCTCAGCCGGCTCGACGCGCTTCACCCCACTCGCCCTCCCCTCCCTCCTCCCCAACTCCCAAACCTGGTCCACCCTCTCCCTCCTCTTCCTCTTCCTCACCCCCTCCATGCCCTCCTCAACCTTGTGCACGCCCTGCACACGCACCATCCTCGCCTCATACATCGCTTTCGAGTCGCGCATGCCTTATGCCCTCGGACTCGCTAACTCGCCCTTGCTGGGAGGTCAGGGAGCACTGTGGACTGGCGTCGGGGAGAAGTGCGGAAGCGGGTTCCTGGAGGGCGTCGCGAAGCAGGCGGGCGAGGCGAACCTTACGGGCGGAAGCGGGTCGATAAAGGCGCGTGCGGGAGGAGTGGTCGTCGCGTTGGTGGCGGTGGTGCTTGCTGTCGCGCTCTGAGCAGACGAGGATGGGCGCAAGGACTCTCTCTTCACTCGACTACGACGCAAACGACGCAATACCTTTCCTTCCTTCCTTCCTTTTCGACAGTTCTCGCCTCGCACTCGCATACCCACCTACCTCCTCGAACCCATTTCATCTTCTTCACACAATCTATTCGACTCGACTGCTTGTAGTGCAGCAGGTCGCAGGCAGCGCCGCGGCTCTTGTTCATTCCCCCCCTCTTCCCTTCCTTCCCTCCCTTCCTCTCGTCGTCTTCGCTCATCCAGCTCGTCTGGTCTCGCTGGTAGCCCGAGGTGCAGGGAAGAAAGGAGAAGGAGGGGTGGATTGTATACCCGTTATACCCTCTCACGTCAGTCTCGTCCACTCTCGAGAAGTCCTTCTCTCTCTCGCAAGCCGCAGAAAGCGAAAGAGAAGCAGCTCGTTCACATCCAAGCTCTACCGCCTCTACTCGTACGTACTATCGCAAACCCTCCCCCCTCGCTGCCCATCCCAGCTCAAAACCAGCCCATCGAACGCCGGCCTCACCCACCTTCCCTCCGCTACCGCTTCTTCACCTGTCTCTGCTGCGTAGGAGGCGACGAAAGCGTTTGCGGCGCGCGTGAAGGAGCGGGGAGAGGGGTCTTTCTCCGAGAGGGAGAGGAGGGCGTCCGTCTCGGGCTCGCTCAGCGCTGGACCTGCTCCGTGGGAAGAGAACTCGGTAGCCCATTCAACCCACGCAGCGTGTGAGATCCCGTGCGGGAGGTCGGTGAGGTAGGTCTTCCTCGCTCCCAAGCGGGCAGAGAGCGCGAGCGATTGGGCGAGCGTGAAGTGTGAGCGCGGGTGGGGGGAGAAGAGGGAGCAGGTATCGATTATTAGGGTGTCGAGGGGTGGGAGGAGGCGAGAGGAGGGGGTGAAAGAGGAGGAGGGGAGGGAGACGTAGGTGGCGAGCCGGGCGATTTGCGCTGCGGGGACCCGGCTGCGCGCGCGAGAGGGAGCGTTGGCGATGTAAGAATGGAGGAAAAAAGAGACGAAGCGAGCACACCTGACGTCGGACAGGTACAACACCGTCGAGTCGATCAGAAACCCGAGCGCGATGAGCGGCCGCTGTGGACCCTTCTTGTGGTCGAAATAGTGTCCATGCTCGACGGGCACGGGCACAATCTTGACGCCACAGACGTCCCATTCCTCGTCCTCGCGCATGATGTGCCAGTCGAACGAGGGGAGGGCGCCTGAGCCCGAGGCGGCCGCTTTCGAGACCATGTAGGTGAAGGAGGAGGCGATTTGGTCGTAGGTTGTGCGCGTGCAGTAGATCGGGATGGTCCGCTCGATGGCAGAGTCGTAGGTCCATATGCGGAGGTCGTCGAGGCCGTCAATCGCGTCGGCGTGGTGGTCTTTGCCGGGGAGCTTTGTGAGCGCGGCTCCGTGAGACCGAGAGGAGACCACACACGAGTGAGGATACATGCGTCGATCTTGCGCAGCCCGTGCTGGGGGAAGAACTTGAGCGCCTGCTCGCGGAACGTCTTGCCGCAGTCGATGAGGATGGTCCTGCTCGCCTCCCGAATCAGCTTCCGCACACCTGTCTCTGCTCGTGCACTCACAGCTCCTCCTGTCCCTCTCCACGCGGCACCCTCAAGACACAACCCGTGTTCCCGCGAATGTTCTTACTCCCCGGATTCCCGACCGTATCGAGGCATGCGTCGCAGCCGTTGACGGGGTCTGTCGTACAAACGATGTTGGGCAAAGCGGAGGAGCAAGCTGTGCCGAGGAAGAGAAGCTCGTGGGGTTTTGAGGGGGAGCGGGCGGGAGGAGGGGATGGTGAGGGAGAAGCGGTGGGAGTGTCGTAGCCGCTCGCGTCGGGATAGCGGTACATCGCGCGCAGCTGGCAGCAGCAGCTAAAGAAGCAAGGGGCGTATCATGTCCCCTCGAAAGACCAAGCACAAGTCCGAGGACCTTCCGAGCAGCAAAGTCGGCCGACGAGCAAAGCCTGCGACGATGGAGGTGCAGTCATCGCCCTAGGCACGGAAGGTTCAGTCCCCCAGCACCTCCAAGCGCACCGCACGCGAGTCCTGGCATTTGTGGCGAGGTCGACTGATGAAGAGCGGGAGAAGGGTCGTTGGTAGGCGGAGAGCGGGTGGCGGGTCCGGCACACGTCCAAGCGAGTCCCAGCTACTCTTCCATCCGGTCCAGCCGCGCAACGCATCCGAGCGAGGCTGTGGTCGCCGTTGAGAGGGTCGCCGTTCGCAGGTTGTCCCCCTCGTCCTCCTGCTGTTCAGGCTGGACCCACGCCCGGACAGATTGCACGGCGGGACACGCTGTGCACATTGTCCGGTACGACTGCACCGACGCGCGTCCCTGTCCACGAGCTCGCGAGACTTGCGAACGACGGCCTCTCGAGTCGCCGTCGACCGACGTCGTGCGATCTTCCGCGCAGGGTTCCAAGTCGACGGTAATTGCGCGCTAATTGCGGTCGCCTGATCGTGCGACAGCGCTTGTCCACATCGCCGGCCACCGCGCCGTCGGAGAGCGGGGACAACCTTTCGCTCGTTCTTCTCCCCGACGCCCGTTCTGTTCCTCCGTCGTCGTCGTCGGCTGACGCTGCTGCTGCTCACGATGCGCTTTTCGACTGTCGCGGCCGCTCTCGCTTCCTTCGCCGCCTGCGTCGTCGCCGCGCCCGTCGAACTCGACGCTCGCGGCCTCTATCCCTTGCCGACAGACGACCCGTTCTACCAAATCCCGACCAGCATCCGCTCTGCGTCGAACGGTCAGGTCCTGAAGTCGCGGCAGATCAACACGGCGTACGATGTCCTCTCCCAGTCGACCTGGCAAGTTCAGTACAAGACGACCGGCGCACTTGGCGAGGCGGATGCGACCGTCGCTACGCTCTTCACGCCCAAAGTCCCATCCAGTCCACCCAAGATCATGCTCCTCATGGCGCCCGTCGACTCGGCCAACCCGAACTGCGAAGTCTCCTACGGCACGCGCGACCCGACGTCCGGACCAGCAGGCTACGACGCCTCGACCGTCGGAGTCGACATCCTCGCCGCCTTGAGCAACGGGTGGTACGTCGCCATGCCCGATCACGAGGGGTCCAAGGCCGCGTTCATCTCGGGCGTCACCGAGGCGCTCGCTGGACTCGATGGCCTCAGGGCTCTCCTCAACTTCCGCCAGGTCTTGCCCGACTCGACGGGATACAAGGCCATCATTCACGGATACGTGCGTTCCAGGCTTCTGCTCAGCGACTGTTTCCCTGCTCAGCTCCGCTGACTTTGACCGCCACTTCTTCCGGCTTGCAGTCTGGCGGCGGTCACGCTTCTGCCTGGGCGACCCAGTTCGCACAGACGTATGGCAAGGGACTCAACGTAAGCCGACCGTCCTTTGAAGATTGCATCTTTCGTCCGGCGAAACTCGTCTCGCCTCCTCAGCAACCTTCGCAATCCAGCATCGCTCCTCTACGAGCCCCGCTGACTTTCTCGACGCCACACAGATCATCGCCGGATGCTACGGTGGTGTCCCTGTCGACTTGCTCGCAACGCTGCAGAAGTTGAACAAGAGGTGAGCCTTGTCGAAGTACCGCCCAAAGACCTCGCTCACGCTTGACGCTCCGCACCTGTAGCTTCTTCGCCTCGTTCGCCATCAGCGCTCTCGCCGGCATGAGCAGCGCCTACCCCGAACTCAAGCAGTGGCTCCTGCCTCGCCTATACCCGAACGGCACGGCCGCCTACCAAGCTGCGAAGACCGACAACAGCTGCAACGTTGCGGCGGCGCAGCCGTTCGTCGACGTCTACACGTACGTCAAGGGCGGTGAGGCAGCTATCGGCGAGCCCATCCCCGCCAAGTACTTCAACATGGGCAAGCTCGGCCAGCCTCTCTCGACCAACGTCGGCAGCATCTCGGGCGTCCTTCCCGTCCCCGTCTTCCAGTACCACTCAGCGTCCGACGAGATCGTCCCCTACCCTCCCGTGCCGGGCTACGTCGCGGACCAGTGTTCTCGCGGCGCGCACATTCAGTTCTCGACAACCGCCGTCTCGGAACACTTGACCGCCTTTATCGAATACGTCGGCGACACGTTCATCTTCATGAAGAATGCGTTCGATGGGAACTTTGGCGGCACGGACAAGGCGTGCTCGACGGTGCAGACTATCGTCGCGCCCATCTTCTCGCCTGCGTACATCGCCGCCATCGGCCCCGAGGCGTACGCCAAGGTTCTCTCACTCCAGGGCACGACGGTTCAGGGCATGAAGATCAACCCGAGTGCGCGCGCTTGAAGCAACTCCACGACCTCTTCCTCCCCTTGCTTTGTCTGTAGTTAGTTTGTTCCGCTGTTGTTATTCCGGGTTCCTCGTTCGTTCGCAATGCCAATTCAGTACTCCCAGAGTCTCTTTCGTCGTCGCAGCCCTCCACCATCGAGAGTACCCCAACTTTGACATCGTCCCGCAGCTTGACCTCGTTCCTCTAGCTCCCACTCCGCTTGCTCTCGCTCGATACGCTGCTCAGGATGTCTGCCGAGACTGCCACCAACGCTCCTGCGCCTCCCAACCCCGAGCTCGTCGTGCGTTTGCTTCCCGCTCCTCCCTCCCGAACGTCATCTCTACACCGCCTTGTCGCCTCCATCGCGCGCAGACTAACCGCTCGTACGGCCTGACAGATCCGCAAGCTCGATGAGCACACCACGATCTTCTCGGTGCCGTTTGCGAGGATGGGACTCGTACCGTTTGGCGGTCGCAGCGTGTGTCTTCTTCCTCCTCCTTCGAACTGCGGTGTGACCTGACGAGCCCCGCCGCGCAGACCGCTATCAAGCTTCAAGACGGCTCGGTTTGGCTTGCGGCGTCTCACCCGCTCGACCCTGCTACGCTCGAGACAATCACCGCGATGGGTCCGGTCAAACATATCGTGATGCTGGATGCAAAGCACGGGATGTACACGAAGTCCTACTACGATGGTGAGCGTGCTCTGAAGCTGTAGATGTGCTCGAGGATGTCTCGCTGACGGTTGTCTCCGTTGCTCTCAGCCTTCCCTGCCGCCAAGCTCTACCTCCCTGCCGGCGGCGTCTCGACCTGGCGCAAGAAGGGATTCCTTCCCTCCGACGAATCCAAGTACGCGTCGTACGGCGAGGGAAGCAAGCAGGTTGATCCGTTCGAGGCGACCACCGGAGGCGAGATCAAGAGTGTCGACTTTGGAAAGGCGCATATCAACCAGGTGCGGGCGCGAGCGTGCGATTGGCAACCTTTGTTGGGAAACTGGCTAACAAGTAGGTCTCCTCTTCGTGCGCGTCTTGCAGGACATCGCCTTCCTCCACGCCCCGACCAAGACGCTCATCCAGGCCGACTTGCTCTTCAATCTTCCGCCTACCGAGCAGGTGTGTCTGCGCGCTTCTCTCACCTTCTCTACGATAGGCGAACGCTGACCCTCCTCGCCTCGCAGTACTCGCGCTCCTCGTCCCGCCCGACCGTCCCCTTCATCTCCGGCCTGCTCCGCCACAGCACCCGCGCGCACCAGCGCTTCATCCACCACCTCGCGACCAAGGATAAGGCTGAGATGAAGTGGGCGGCGAAGAAGGTCGCTGAGTGGGACTTTGGTGAGTTTTCGGTTTCGCGTTTGGGGAGTCGGGGGCCAAATGCAGTCCCGTTCGCTCGCCAGATGCACACTGTGTTTCCCGTTGAGCGCGATGTCCTGACAACCCGAATGCGACACAGACCGCATCATTCCCTGCCACGGCGACGTTATCGAGACCGGCGGAAAGAAGGGTGCGTTCACTTTCAATCTCTTCGCCTCGCACTTCTTCCAGGTTCTCCAGCGCTTACACGCATGCCGCCACACAGCTTGGGTCGACACCTTCGCCTGGTTCACGAACCACGAGTAGTCAGCGTCGTGAAGGAAAGAGGTCCGCTTGAAGAAGAGAGGAGGAGGAAGTCTGTGCCATGTTGTTGTCTTCGCTTGTTCCTCGCCGTCGTCGCTTTGCACCACTAACTCAGATCAGTGCCGTCGTAATCCTTGACAATGCAGTCATTTCGTCGTCGTCGTTTGTCGAGCTCCGCTTCGTCTCCTCCTCGAACCGCCTTTGCTCGCTCTGGTTTCGCTGGCCTCTGCGAGGATTGGATTACTACAGTACTCTACAAGTGCTTAGACTCGTCGCCAGCGTCGCCCGGAGTTGGAAGTCGTCGCCGGTCTCGACCTCCCAGCCACTCTTTGCTCTTCGTCCTCTTCGTGCTCTCCTCGTCCGCTTGATCGACTGTAACCGCTGCCTGGTGGTGCGTACACGCTCGCAGCACTACGCTGAGACGCCCACTGACCCAGTCCAACTCGCAGCACGCCCCGTCTCTTCCTCGCAGATTCTCATCAGCTCCACGCTCGTTCACCTCGACACTCGCTTGTACTGCCTCTCCAGTCCGCTCAACTCCTCCTTCGGCCTTTCAAATTATCTTTGACTGCCGACCATGGTCAACTTCTGTGCTGGGACTGGGATTCTCTTCTCCTTCGCGTGAGTGCAAGCCATCGGCGGAGAAATCGAGTGCGCGAGACGAGATGGGATGGGAATGCTGACGTACGCTTGACGCACAGTGCGACTATTCTTCTCGTCTTTGTCCACGTGAGTTGCGGGGCTGCTGAACGCTGAACCGCCATATGCGCTCGCTGACTTCGCCTCCTCCTTCCTTCGCAGATCACTCAAATTACCCCGAGCCTGATCCCTCGCCACCTCCGCATCGTCGCTATCGACACCTCAGGCCTCTCGACTGCCTTCGCCGCAGCAGCCAAAACCTCCGGCGTCTCTATCGCGACTGGCAACTTCTCCGACATCTACAACACGCAGCCGGTTGGACAGGGCTACTTTGTCAAGGGCCAGAATGAGAGCAGGCACGATGGCTTGAGGTGCGCCCGTGCGCTCGTAATCTTGCCCGACGGACAGTGATTGAATTTCCGGTTGTTCTCGCTTGCGCTCCGCAGGAAGACGTACGAGTGGGGCCTGTGGAGTGCGTACCCGCTTTCCGTATCTACCTGAGACGTCCAGCTGACGATTGCGCCGCTTCGCGCAGGCTACTGCTCGACCAACGGCAACATCGGCTCGCCTCGCTCGTACTGTATCGACCGCAGCATCAACGAGCGCTTCGAGCCGGCGCAGGTCTTGATGGAGGATATTCCGACGCGGTACTCGGACTTGCTGCAGAAGGTCCTCCCGAGCAACGTCTTCACCGCCGACAACTGTGCGTTCGCCTGTCCCTCCTCCCGCTTCTTGCTTGCTGTGAGCTAACGCTTGCCGCACGAAGACCTTGGCTCGTACACCGAAGGTGCATCCTATGTCATCCTCGCCGGCTCGCTCGCGACCGCCCTCGCCGCCCTCATCGGCCTCTTCGCCCGCCGCGGCGCTTTCATCCTCGCGTGCCTCCTAAGCATAGTCGGCTTCCTCGGTCTCGCAGTCGGCGCCGTCATCTACCAGGTCATCTACACGCGCGCGCAGGACGCGATCAACCAGGCGACCACGTCGGGCGTTGATCTCGGCATCACGCTCGAGTACGGTAACGCTCTTGTAAGTCATTCGTCCTTGCCCCCTCACTCTGCGGTGGTGTCCCGTCGACTCGAAACTGATTTGATGTCTGCACTCGCTCGCAGTGGATCCTCTGGGCGGCAACCGGCCTCATGCTCCTCGCTATCGTTCCTTACGCCGTCGCATGCTGCACCGGCCGTCACGACAGGGCCTACTAGCGCCCGTTCTCTTGCCGGATTCGCCGTCGCTGGCAACCGCCGACCACACCGTCCACCCGCAAATCTTCAATTCTACGACACTCGTTCCTTTCCCCCTTCTCCCGTTCGATAGCCTGTATCGCTCTCCCCATGCGCGCCTCTCACACCACGCCGCTGTACCGTCTCGCCAAGTCTCGTATTCGACACCTCGCAACCTCTGTAGCGCCTACAGCATCGTAATCCACAACAGCCTTCTCCGTCTCGAGCCTGCTACGCCCCATAAATTCTCGCGCGCCTGTAGCTTCCTTCGTCCGCTACCGAACTGGGCTTGGCGAGCTCATGAATACCTTGCTCGCGCAGAGCTGTTTGAAGCCGCCCCTCAAGGTCCTCGTACCGCTTCTCCCCCAAGCCCTTCTTGATCTTGGCCAATACTTCTCTTTCGATGTTGGCGATGGCGTGGTAGAGTGTTTCCTGGAGGATCATATGGTGAGCGTTGCGTAGGTCGCAAAGAGGCGAGGGAAGAGCGGAGAGAACCGCCTTTGCCTCACAGCTGCTTTATCTGCAGGTTGCGAGCCCGGTCAAGCGTGCTGCGCCAGTTCAAACGGCGTTCGACTCACACTGCTCACGCGCCTGGGAAACGAAGCTGTCAGCACGGAGGTGAAGCCACAGAGGCCGCGGACAGATCGAGCGCACCTCCCATGTATACGCTTCAAGTTTCTCGAAGCGCATCCCGATAACCCTAGCGGTGGGCACGGCGATGTCTGCGTGCTTCGGCCAGATGCTCCTCACCACCGCATCCCTGCGATATCCCTCCGTAACGCCGCGACGCTTCAGTTCCCGCTCAACCAGCGCAAGACCCCAGTCCGAGTCGTCTTCCAGCACGAGGTGGTTCTCTGCTAGGGATCCAGGACGTCAGCGCCTCGGGCACACAACAGACGAGGAGCTTACGGTTATACGCTGCGGGAACGAGATTAGCAAAGCGTCGATGCGAGAGGAAGTGGCACAAAGGACCGGCCGTTGCGCCAGAGAGTCTGCGCTAGCTTGCCGAGACGCTGCAAAGCCGCCTGAAGCTTGGGAGTCACTGTAGCAGGTTGCAGGAGAGAAGGAAAGGCGATTGGGCAGACGAAGCGGGCCAGCGTGACACGGACGTTCCGCGGAAGAGGGGGCAACGAGGGACTTGCCGGGAGCGAGTGCGGCGAGCCCAAGTTCAAGCATATCATGCGTATAAGTCGGGCCGGAAACGAGGAGCAGGCTTGTACCAGCGGCAGATTGGCAAGATCGCAGTCAAACGAGGAGCGTACCCAATCCTTCGCGTCCCGAATCTTGTAGCTCCTGGCGACAAGTCGGCGAGCTTGCCCGCTGTCTTGTGGTGTAGCTGTAGTCGATCGCTGCCCGCCGGCGCGTTGATAGTGCTGGCCGGAGGAACAGCGGACGAAGCTACTCAAGTTTGCGAAGGTCAGCCTGGCTTTCGATTTCCTCCTCAGCCTACAGCCCGTAGATCCTCGCACGCCTGTAGCTTCCCTCTGCGCCGCCAGCAGACCTTCTCCTCAATGAATAGCTTGCTGCTCCGATCGGAAGCCTGTCGAGCCCGCGCTCGAGTCGCTTGTACCGCTCGTCGCCGACTAGCTCCTCGAGTTCGATGAAGAAGTCACGCAGCAACTGGTCAACCAGCCACTCGCGTGCAGAGAACTGCGAGCAGATGCAGGGTGAGTGCGAGAGGGGGGAGAGCCTGCTCGGAAGGAAGCGCACGAGAGTGTAGTAAGCCCATTCGCGGACACCTTTCTCGTTTCCTGAAGGTGCTGCGTGGTACGCCTTGGTCGCTGCATGACAAGACTTGATGAGAGGTACCACTAGAATTGGCGAGACGAGCGAGGCGCACCCTCATTAACTGCCGGAGGAAGAGTTGGTGTCAGCGCGGTCCGCCAGACCGAGAGAGCCATACGTAGCTCACGCATCTCAGTGAGGCTATCAAACTATACACGGCCCTGCGCCATCGTTAGCGGGCGCGGACTCTGGGGCAGGCGAAACCACTTCACCTTCTTTACAACCTCGCCAGCCAAAGACTCGATCTGCAGCCGGTGCGTCTGCGCCTCACCCCTGCGAAACGCATCCGGGTATTCGCGCCGACGGAGAGCATCAATTTGCTGTTCCGCCGCCCGCGCTGTACGAGCTGCGAGAATGGGACGATTCAGCGTGAACATACCAGCGACGAGGGGCCCACGCACTTTTGTCTGTCGCGAGCTCGGCGAGGCGCAGTGTACTGAGCGCAAGGCCTGAGCCGCCATCGAGCTTGAGGAGTGTCGAGAGCACTGTGGAGCGTGAGGGGGCGTGAGCAAGTCGCGAGGAGGCCAGGTGAAGGACCGGAGAGGGACAGACGGCGTCTGGCTGCGAGCGAGAGGGCTTCGTAAGCGGGGAAGAGGTGAAAAGCTAGAATTGCGTCGTACATACCGTCAAGCACGATGTGCTTTGCCAGTGGAGCCTCTTCAAGCTTTTGCGCCAGGTCAGACGGGAGTTTCGGCAGCTCGAAAGCCATAGTCGGACAAACGAGCACAGGGTATGAGCGAAAGGGAATGGAGAAGGAGGGGAAGGGGAAGAGCGAGGACAAGCGTGACGGAGAATCCGCGGACCTCCTCCCCCGGTCCGCGCCTCCTGCTTCCACCGCGTCGCAGGTCTTGCAAATGACCGGACATTGCGACGAGACGAGACACTCATAGCCCTCGCTGCCCGACCTCGAGCTCGAACTGGAAGAGGATCGTGTAAACCGTCGACGAGATGCGTCTTCCTTACTCCGCGCCTACACCCCGTAAATCATCCTCCGCCTGTATCCTCCGCGAGCCTGAACCGCATACTTAGCGAGAGCGTGCGCGGCATGCGAGCCGTCCGTTCCAAGAACGGGACGCAGGTAGGCGACTTCTCCCTCCGGGAGAGAGCGCTCCAGCTGGTGAAAGAAAGCCAGCTCGAGCTCAGACAGCCACTTGCGCACACGCTCCTGCACCAGAGTCGGAAGAAGCGTCAGCACCTTGAAGGGAGAGAGGAAGGGATGGAAAAAGCAAGGAACGCACGTAAGCTGCCACAACTGCCTGGAGTTTTTGGTGAGCGCGCCCTTGAGCTTCTTCGAGGTCGCCGGTAGCTGTGGTGCAGTCGTGAGCAAACCGCGCATGAAGTCAGACGAGAGGACTTACCGAAGATCACTGCGCTCGCCGACCGGACGAACGGCGGAGACTGTCAGCTCGCTCTCGTCAGAGAAGAGGCGGGGACGGACCATCTTCCTGCGCCCTCATCGACTGGCAAAAGTACAAGTGAGTCAGGTCAACGACCGAGCGTTGCCAGATGAAAGGAAAGCGCACCAGCTCGAAGAACCGACGGATCTCTTCCGCCAGCGTCTGCACTCTCGTCCGTCCGCTTCCTCCGAGGACGACCGAGCCGACGGCGGAGCGATAGTGCTCGGTGCGAAAAGCGAGAGCCTCGCTAAGGTTGCGTCTGACCTGCTCAAGCTCGCCGCGCAGCGTGTCCTTGGTCTCCAAGCGGTCCTTCCATGGCGTGTGAGTCGCTGCACGGTGCGCAACCGATTGCACAAACCAGGCAGCAACGTTAACACACGGTGCGGAAGCGGAAGACATGAACGAAGCTGACCGAGCTTGAGCTGGATGTTGGCTGCTCGCAGACGAGGTCAACTCGGCTTCTGCTCCGGAAGCGTCTGTTCGAGCGTACGCACCCTGTTCCTTCTGCAGCTCGACTATCCTCCAGGTCACGAGAGCGAGACCGGACGCCTTGTCGAGCTTGAAGATGTTGGTCAAGACTGTGCGCGGAAGAGGTCAGCCTGCAGCAGAGAAGGGGAGGATGGCACGACCGACTGCGGTGGGCTGCGCGAGGGCTAGTGACGGTCAGTGAAGAGTAAGGCGCGAAGGAGTACGAGGAGACTCGCCTTGATCGGCTCGTTCGAGACACTCATCGCGCTCGAATTGGTTCAGGCTGCTCACAGCGGAGTGGGGTAGCTGAGGGAGTGACGAAGCCATCACAGCACGACGTAGCGAAGGTTGCTAGAGGAGAGAAAGAGAGCGAAAGTCGCTCAGAACTGGGCGGCTCCGTCTGCGAAGTCCGCGGATTCACCGTTAAGCTCGTAAGACAAAGGGCGGCGTCGGCGGCTCAGTCTCGTGAAGGTGATGTGTAGAAGAGCAGGAGAAGAGTCTGTAGCTTCGCAGGCGGGTTCGGCGAGAAAGACGGAAGTTGTCTGCGCGCAGCTTTGGCTCGAGCGGCGATGCGAGCAGCCTTCTCCGGGTGCACCGGGGTGCGAGCGGAAACGGAAGTTGCAGAGACGGGTGGTACAGTCGGAAAAGGCGGGGACGTGACATGGCGGACGAACGAGTCGGGCGAGGAGGATGGGCGCGATCAGTAGTTGGCGGGGTTCCAGCTCGGGTCCTGCAAGAAAGCGCAGAGGACTTTTGAGCCTGTCTGTTGAGGAAGAGGAGAGTCAGCGCGTGTTACGGATCGTGCGATCTAGCGAAGAGAGGAGGAGCGTGTGCTCGGAACGCACCTGAAGTAGCGGGTGGCCCGCGACAATCTGCAAGAACCGCTCGAGACCTTCCCGGCGCTGCTCGATGACCTCGTCGGAGAAGCGACTGCAGAAAGCGGAAGAAGCGAGTCAGCTTTCAAGACTTCGGCATCGTCGCCCCCTCGCCTTATGCTTCCGGCTTGGCCGGGCGGTGTGTTGCGATTGGAGCGCTCGGCAAGCTCGAGAGAGAACTTGACGCACCTCCCGCTGAATACCTTGCCCGGCAATGGCGGAATGTTGACTCGCTGCGACTCGCGCTCGAGGATGTCGCGGAACGCCTCAAAATCCGAGTATCGTCGGCGGACGGACGAGTAGCGGACGCGGAAGGCGGGAATATTCGTCTGTGAGGGAAGCGCTGGGACAGTCAGCAGTCGTCGCTCGAAGACTGAGCGCAGACTATCGAAAAGCGCGGCTCACTCGGCAGATGATCTCGTAGTCGGTGAACATCTTGCGGCCGAACTCTGCAGTAGGTGGAAAGTAAGCTCGCGCTTGATCGAGGAGACAGAGGCTAGTGCGCACCCTGCGTCCTCGGATCGCGGACTTCGATCTCGAGCGTGTTCTCCGGCGCCGAGTACATCTCCTCGAGTGTCTGTCCCCGCGGATCTCCCTGCGCCGGCTCCTTCCCTTTCGCTCCAGCAGCACTGCTACTGGCCTGCACCGTCGCAGGGTTCACCCTCCCTCGCTCAGACGGCGGGACATACGATCCTCCGCCGAAAGCCTGGTTCAGGGCTGATCGAGGCTGGTCGGTGACGTAAGGCGAGGACGACGCGAGCGGATCAGAGGTCGAAGAGAAAGCGGAGAAGGAGGCTGGGAGCGGGAGGCGGGCAAAGGGAGAGTGGCCGGAGGAGGGAGCAATGAGGCCGGGAATGGATGGGTGAGTCGGGTCTTCTGCCTGCGCTGGTCGGGTCGCCATGTCTGTCTGCATGTCTGAGCGTCAGTCACATCTGTCTGGCTCGTCTCGCAGGCGCGCGAGAGACGAGACGGGACCAGGTGGGGGGGCGGCTGATGGAGGGTGTGGACGGCTGCGAGGAGCGTCGGGTCGTGTCGAGGTGAAATGTTGCGCACCGTTGAGGTCTTAGAGAACTGTGCCACTCGTCAGGATGGCCTCGCACGACGTGATTCTGCCGTTCTCTCGAGGTTGACGACGAGGTGCCGATGAAGAAGAGTAGGGGCGAGGGCGGTTGGGGTGAAGCGTTGGCGGGTGTGAACGGTCGTATTGGCCCAGTCCAAGCAGCAAGAAGGGCTCAGGAGCGGACAGCGGCGAGTGGTGTCAGGACAACCTGGTCCTCCCCTCCCTCTCCCTCTCCCCCTTCACCTCGAATGACACACAGCTATAGACGGCGGCCTGACATCTCTCCAGTTGCCCAATGGCTTGTCTTCGACACTTGGATCGCGCTGCCGCCTCCCCATACGCCATTTTCTTGGTACACACGCCTCTCCTCGCCTCCTTCTACGAAACTCGGTGCGCTAGGCCGTTTCGCCGCGCCAGGATCATGCTCCAACACACGGGCTACGCCTGTGCTCCTCGATTCACATGGGCGTGAAGCTCACACCCCCTCTCTCACTCCAACTCCTGCTCGCGCCGACACCTGCTTCCAAGCCGGCCGCGCTTCTCGCCACAGCTACTGCCTATCTGCCGCTAACGAAGCGGATCAGGAAGCGTGGCGCACCCTTCGAGCGTGACGAGCGGCGTTGAGCGGCGTCCTTCGACGACCTGGTCCGCGGATTCTCCGATCGTGCCGTGTCCACTCTCGCTCGAGAAGCTCTCCTTGAGCTCTCCTTCCGCTGGATATCCAAGAGCTCATCCTCAGCCGGACGTCGGAGCCCAACTCTCCTTCCTCTACCGAATTCACCGACCGCTTCTACCCCTGCGCGCTTCATGCCCTCGTCTCCCGCCACATCCAAGGTCGAGGTCCAGGAGCACTTGAAGCGATGGCGCCTTGATGCTGCGCGAGGTGCGTCTCCCTTCTAGCAGCCATCCTGGTCGCAATGTCTGACAATCCCTGTCCTCGCAGTCCAAAAGCGTGCGCCGCTCTTCTCTATCTCTAAGGCGTCCTGGGCTGACGAGTGTATTTGCACAGTGTGGGACCGGATCGGTCGTGCAGGTCCAGGAGCGGGCGAGGTCGTCGAGATCCTCGACTGGGTTGCGGAGAAGCAGGTTGAACTCAGTGAGCGAGACTTCTCGTCAGTGTTACCCTAGGGCTTTCATCGTCCTGACGCAGGTCACTCCCATACAGCTCGCGAGAAGGATGCGTTGGGTGCGCTCGACCAGCCGGTACCGCGCAGGATCGTAGGCACTGACAATACTTGTCCTCTTCAGCACACCCTCAGAAGGAGCTGACCAGGGAGGAGCGTCTCGCGATTGCGACGCATATAGAACACTATCGCGACACGCTGGAGCGTTACGAAGACGAGCTGGACGAGTATCCACATGATGTGCGCGATACGGTTGAGCGTGCATACGAGGAAGCGAGGGATCTCGTGAGTCGTTACATCTTCTGAGCGTATCCTCATCCTAATCCTGACGATGTCTTGCTTCGCAGGTGGAAGACCTCGTTGAATTGCGTGCGTTTTCCGCGCTCGCTTCGCCTCATCTGACCGTGTGCTGACCCTGGACAGCGGTGCAGGGGAAGACTGTGCGGACATCTCCAGCTCTGGAGCTTCACCTAAGCAACGGTACTGACTCTTGCCGCGCAGGCGAAGAACACGAGCTCAAGAACAGCGCGAGAGAGATCGTGAGTTGCTGGTCGATATCAGCAGTCCCTGCAAGCGTAGGAGGGCTGACAACCACTTTACCAGACTGCAGAGCTCCATCGCCTGAACCAACATGCCGAGCAGATCCGCTCCATGCTCGTCCTGGACGTCCAGATGTCACAAGCGAGCGACCCGTCCGATCGCGAAGCTTTGCCATCGCACCGCCAGATCTCGCCGCCTCACCGCCCGCGACGCATCATTCGACCTCCCGAGGGCCGCGAAGCCCGCCGAGCGGCGTACCTTGCCCGGAAGAACGAACGATCAGGGCTCGCGCAAGTTTCGTACCCGGAGAACGCCCTCGCCAAGTCTCACAGCCGGTTGGGGTACAGGCAGATGCGGAGGTATTTCAACTTTGGGTATTGAGGTAGAGGAGCCGTTTAGCGAGGGCGAGTCTGGTGGAAGAAGCAGTTCAATCGCGGCTGATCTCGCTGGGTCGACTGAGAGAAGGGCGTTCTCCGACTTCGAGCGTGCACTCCTGGAACACAGTCCGTTGAGAAGATAGTCCTCTTGTATCGGCGAGCGACAAGCGCAAAAGCAGCAAGACTAGTGAAGAAAAGGCGGAGTCAGCGAGGTGAGGAAGCAGCAGCCGTTGAAGGCCTCCGAGGAGCCACAGGACAGCGCAGCGTTGCGGCAGAAGCAAGTGCTCAAGTCCAGGAATGGGATCTGCGCCGCCCGTCGAGCCGTCCAGCTTTGCGAGTCGTCCTGGCGTGAGGAGGAAGGGCGTCCAGCCCGCGATCCCGCTGCCCCTGACGCGTACAGCCGCGGATCGTTCAGAAAAGCGTCTTCGCAAGACCTGCGAGTCGCTACAGCGCGTCCAGCAACGTGACTCGGGCTGATGAACGAGTCGGGGGAGTCCCGACTGATGAGGACGGAGGACGACGGGGACGAACGGTCGGCGGTTGTGGGTTGGTACGAGTATCGCTGAGCGTCTCAAGCGCATTTTTAGTCTGTCACATTCGGCCCACGAGCGAGAGCACCGGTGTGGTCTGGTCCAACCCTTCCCCCTCCTCGTCTCCCTCCCTCCTCTCGCCTGTGATACGCTTGTAGCTGCATTGAGGCTTTCCTCGTGACCTGCACGCTGTCAATGCTTCACGCTCCCGAATACGCTTCAGCGGACTCTTGCCGCCTTGCTCCCTTCGACCGACTCCTCAACGTCCGCGGACTCGCCGACGCCGAGCTGTCTCGCTGCGACCTGCCTCGCTCCTCCCCTCTCTCTCTGTTACGTACTTGGCTCGCACCGGTCAAGCGATTGTGCTTTGCTTGCTCGTTGCCCGCGTCTGTGCTGCACACTCCTTCCCACCGCTTTCGTCTTTTACCTCCTCCCATGTCCGCCCGTCACAATGCTCGCGCTCGCACGAAGCGCGATGACGAGCTAGTATCCAATTGTGAGTTCCCCGTCTCATTACCAAGTCAGTCCGTTATCGCTGATGCGCTTCTTCCCGGCAGACATCCGTCGTTCGTCCCCTTTCCTGCGCCCGTCGCTCTCAAGATCGCCTTCCTCACATGCTTCATACAGTCTGGGGAGACGCCGTCGACTATGGCAAAAAGCATCAAGACGCGAAGGCGATCGTGCGCCTCCTCGACAAGATTCGGAGCAAGAGCATAGCGATCGGTGCGCCTCGAGTCTCCCCGTTGCACGACTGGTACTGATACAACGACTTTGCAGAAGAAGCAAGAGAACGTGACCGTGCGTGCCTCCAGCTTGCTGGTAACGTAGAAGAGCGGTTGAAGGGGAGCTTTGCTCGGTTCTTTCCCGGCAACAGCAGGATCGATTCGCGTAGACGAGTTACGTCGCGACGAAGACCGGCTGAAGAACCAGCTCAGGAGGATGAGTAGCACCGAGGACGAGCACGCGAAGAATCTCTGCGAGGCTGCGGAGCAAGCGGTGAGCAATTTCGCCCATGGCAGCTTGCGGCGTTGTTGACCTGATGCGTTCCCTGACGTACAGAGAGAAGCAATTCTCAGGCAGTGTTTGTTTTCAAGCTCTCGGATTGCCTGAGTGGAAGCCGCTGACGGACTTTGTATTGTCGCTGCGGTCCGGGTGCTCAGATCACGCATGTGAGTCTTCGGCCTGCGGTCGGCCTGTATTCAGCTCGTTGCTCACCAGGGACTGCCTCACACGCTCAGATCTAAAGGAAGACGAAGACGAGGAAGCGGAGGAACTGGTGCGTGATCGGCGAAATCCTTGCCATCACTTCCTGATTGACCGGCTGGCTTGCGCTCCGCAGGGTGCTAGGCTCGACGATGCAGACGAGGTCGTCGACGGCCTCAAGGAGGGCATGGAGGGCAACTTACCGCCAGAGGAGACTGCACAAGCCTCTCAGGCGAGTTCGTCGTTGACAAAGAAACGCAAGCGAGGAGCAGATCGCCGGCCGCGCAACACAGCTTACAAGGCACGTGTAGCGGGAGAGCGAGGCTCGCTGCTTCGCCACGCCCAGTCAGCCGCCTCCCTCTCGTCCGCCTCGGGCGCAGAAAACGCCCTCGCCAAGTCGCACACCCGGCTTGGGTACCGCCAGACGCTGCGTTACTTTGGTGTCGGGTACTAGATTCCCCTTTCCGCATTCACTCCCGCTGCAGAACCCTGTTTAGCCTGCGATCCTGATCCTCGAGTCGCTTCGGACGGCGAGGAAGTGAGTAGGTGCAAGCCCGAGGGCCTAGGAAGTCCTGCGAGTTGTGCAGCAAGCCGTAGTGTCTCTGTGCTAGCGCGATGAGTCGGAATGCGAGCTGGACAGAGCGAAAAAGCGAGCGCCGAGTGGAGCGGAAGAGGCCGAGAGACGGTAGCAGCCAGGCCCTGAAGCGCCAATCTGAGTAGCGCGGGGGCTCCATAGGCGTCACTTGGGGGAGTTCGAGCAGGTCAGCATCTGCTTGAGCCGTATAAGCCGAAGGTCGGAAGGAGGAGAAGAGCGAGAGCCGCCCAGCCGGATCCATCACAGCTGCGATGGCACAGTCGCCCGCTGCTGACTGCAATCCCATTGTGCGGCGTCGGCTTCAACGGACCCTCCTCTGCGAGTGCTGCCGCGGTGTTGCTGGACCTCCTCGAGTTGCGAGCTGATGAAGCGGTGTTGCGGCGGAAGGAGGGCGTGCGGGTGCTTGGTCGAGCCGACGGGGCATGCAAAGAGGCTATCGCGAGCCATCGCGTCCCACAGGACTCGCAGAGGCGCGGTCGCGGCGAGACGTTACCCGCCGACCCGCGACCTTGCCTCTCTCCCTCGTCCCAATCACCAACCGTCGGCTCACGTTGCTCGCCGGCTTCTTAACGAACAAAGGACCTCTCTCAGTGCCCCGTAAATCACCGCTATGGCCTGTACAGCGACCGTTCGTCTCGCCGCCCTCTTCTGCCTCCGCGGATTCTCCGCAACGGCGTCCGTCACTCAGCATCCCCGAGCATCGCTTCCTGCTCATCTACCTGCTCTTCTGCTTGGCCGCTGCACCTCGCCGCCGCTTTCCCCGCCCTATGCCGCCCTCCAGCACTTACAGCTCGTCCGCCAGTTCCTCGCCTCCTCCCGCCCACCACGATGACGACGAAGAGGTGAAGGAGAAATTTGAGAAGGATATTAAGCAGTGTGCGTATTGTCCAGGCCGCCTCGTCGTGATCACGCTGACCCCTTGGCCGTCCTCGCTGCCAGACCTCGACCGTCCGTCCATTCCTTACTTGCTTTTGCGCATGGCGTCTCTCACTCACCTTGCTCTGGCCAGTATGGGATCGCATCCGTGACCTTGTTCAGAAAACGCCAAAGCTCAAAGGCTTGCTCGAGCTACTGACTCAACTGCACGAGGCCGGTCTGGACGCCGGTACGCCTCCTCCCCCTTCACTTGTACTCCTGCGGAGCTAACAAAACGCCTGACAATGTAGTGAGCGCTGAAGAGGAACGTGGTGCGTCACAAACGCGAAGCAGCGCAAGCTCTCGCTCAGCGGGCTCTCTACGCTACAGACGCTTTGAAAGAAGAAGGAGGCGACGAGTACCTCCGCGCGGAGGAGGAAGCCGACGAGATCGACAAGCGCTTGAGACACCTGAGCAAGCGAGTGCACGAAGAGTACACAGACCCAGTCGCTCAACGCGTTGTGGCTTTGTGGGACGAAGCGGATGATCTGGTGCGCCAGTTCTCCGTGCTCCCGCCCGTTCTGATGCCGACGCCATCAAACCTCTGTAGTATGGCGCACTTAGCGATACAGGCAAGTTCAGCTCGACCGACTCGTCCGGCGGACCGGCTCGCTGACCTTCTTCTCGTCCATCAGTCAACGACAGTGCGTTTGGCTGGGTGTCAAAGGCAGGCACCCTTCTGCTCACCCATACCTCTTTGTGTCCGTAGTGTTTCACGCCAAGCGACCGGCGCTGGAAGCCTACCTGGTACGCCTCTCGCGTACCTTCGCTTCAAGCAGACTTCCTGACCCTGTTTCACACAGTCCGCTGCCCTCGAAGACGCAGACGAACACGTCGACAACATCAAGATCAAGGAACTCCGCATCGGCAAGAAGGGCGCGCCCGCGCCGTACAAGCGCAAGCGCAACCCGGACGTCTCGCACGAGGAGGAGCACGTTCGCGAGGCCAAGCGGAGGGGGACGCTGCTGAAGCACGTAGAGCACGCGCCACACACCTTGAGCAAGATGCGGCGAGGGCTTGGGTACCGGCAGGCGTTGCGGTACTTCGGTGTTGGGTATTAGGGGTCGAGTGTGCTGCAATCTCAGCTGCGGGCGATTGAGAGGGGACGGAACGAACCGTGACAAAGCGCGGGAGCTCTAGCTGAGCAGTCTCAGGCGTGTGACGAAGCGACTGAGCAGCGGGTGATTGCACCGCAGGCGAGAGCAGCTGAGAGTCGTAGCGAGAAGCTGGCAGTCGCTGCGAGTAACCGCGAAGCCGGGCTCTCGGCGCATGCGCTTGGGGCAGAGACTGTGCGGAGTGAAGAATGGTTGTGGTCCAGCAGTCCAGCTTGGGCGAGGGGGAGGCGAGGACGAGTAGCAGGCGGAACTGAGAGGCAAAGTAGCACAAGAACGAGCCGCGGCGCGGTGGGAGCGGGATCGCCTGGTTCGCAGATAGCAGTAGGCGTCCTTCACAGGCACTGCAAGCCACCCTGAGGAGAGCGAGCAGGAGGTCCTGGTCCAAGGGGGGCGAGCGGAAGTTGGACGACGACGACGACCTCACCAACACGCGCTGTTGCACTCGCTGGCTCGCTGGAACCTCGCAGACGATGCAGTAGACCCACAGAGCTTATCGACGCACCCACCGACGCTCAACTCGCTGTCATCGTCGCGCAGACACTCCATCCCGAAGCAGCCGACCTCTACGCGACAACGACAGAGCGGTGTAGGGCGAACGAGGCGCGGAAGTAGGTCAGGATGTACGGCTCGTCGCACCCGTATGCACAGCAGGAACAGCGACCCTCTCAGCCCGCTCACCCCTTCCCCACCGGCCCTTCGACGCACAATGCGCGCATGCGTCCGCGACAGCCACCGCCAGAAGCGCCTCTGCCTGCTCCACCGAAGAGCAAACTTCCTGCACTACCCTCTGCCGTCCCGCCGTCGCCCCGACACGCGTCGGAGCGATTGGCGTCCTCGTCGACTTCGCCCGCTCTCGCTTACCCTTCCTTCGCAAACGACCCCTTCCCTTCGGCCCAACAACGGATCCGAGGCGAGTCGTCGCCTGCACTTTCGCGGCACTCGACCCGCGACCCGTTCGACGACGTCACGTTCGACGCGCAAGGACGGCCGGTTGTTACGATGCGGAGGCAAGATAGCGGCGGAGGGACTGTGACGAAGCGCTTTGTCGTCGGAGAGGATGGCAGGGAGCGGGAGGAGACGCGCGAGGAACGCCGAGCGCGCAAAGAGCGGGAGCGGGCGGAGCGAGGGCAGTCTACCGTGTCAGAAATGGGTGCGCCGGCAGTGCTTTCTCTCTTCCCATAATCTAGCTCACGCTCGACGTCCAGACCACCGCCGGACCTCATCGCGAACGAGCCGGACCAGCGACGGCTACGGCTTCGGCACGACGCCTCTCACCTCCCCTCCCATCCCTTCGCCGTCCGCCTCGCCTCGCCTCGCCTCGCCTCCGCCCAATGCCTCTTCCTCCAACTCGTCAAAATCTGTCTTGACCGTCGCCCTCCAGCGCGCCCAATCCGCCGTCCTCCTCGACAGCGCCAACAACTTTCCAGCCGCCATCGCAGCCTACACTCAGGCTGTCCGGCTATTGAAGGACGTCATGGCGCGCGTCGAGGACGGGTCGAAGGAGATGGAGCGGAAGCTGAGTACGGGTGGAGTGCGCGAGGGAGAGACGGTTGAGGAGTACGAGAAACGAAGGGCGAGGTACGAGCGGAAAGAGCGGGCAAAGGTGGACGAGGCGAGGCGGCTGCGAGTGATTGTGCGTGTGCGCTGCGTACTGGTACGAATGACCGCTCACTTTCGACTTGCAGCACGACACGTACGAGGACCGGATCCGCATGCTCGTCTCCATGGGCACGCCCCTTCCTCCCGGCGCCGCCTCTCCGCCCACTCCCTCGCAACGTACTCTCTCGGCCTCTTCCAGTCTCCACTCTCTTGCCGAACCGAAGCCTTACACGCCGTCCGTCGCCTCAAATTCGACTGTCACTTCCGCCGCTCCGCCAATGACCTACCGCCGGAGACGATCGTCCAATGCCCTCGAACAGCATGCGCGCCAGCGAAGCGTCACGAGCCTTCATACGGTCACGACTCCGCCGACGAGTGTTGACGCCGGCTCGAGCTACATCGACTTTGACCGGCCGGCGACTGGGCGAGCAGGAGCTGGAGTGGCCGAGAGTATCGGGAGTGCGATGATGGCGGATGTGGCGAGTCCGACGTCGCCTAAGCCACCGCCGTGGGAGAGAGGCGTCCCGCAGATTGGCGACCTGCCGGTGTTCTCGTCTCTCGCCGACTCGGTTTCTCCGACTCTCACGCGGGACGAAGGGTTCTTGAGCGCGGCGTCGCCGACCGCGCGAGATGCGCGACCTCTCAGCTACGCCAGCGACTCGACAGCGACTGCAATCGCTCGAACACCCAACACCGCAACGCCCGTTCCCGCACCTTCACCCTCCGCTCCGCCTTCGATCCTTCCCCCACCAATACCTTCGTCGACGTCCGATCCCTCTTCTCTCGCTGCGCCTCTCTCGCCCGGCTACGTCAGCAGCAGCGGCGAGACGGACGACTTGCCCATGCACACGGCCATTGAGCCTGGGTCCGGCTGGCCAGCGCAGTCGCCGCAGAACACGCGGGCAGCGTTACCAACAGATGCGCCTATCCCATCGCCTGACGACCGTCCTCTCCCACTGCACGCCTCATCTTCGGAAAGCTCGGTACCGGGACTCGCGCACCTCGCGCCGTTTATGCGGAGAGGTTCCTCAGCGAGCGCATTGACGGCGGCGAGTGGCGAGACGTTGCGGATTGGGTACGGTCCCGGAGGCGAACAGATGCGACGAGGAAGCAGCGCTGGAACTCTGCCGATGCGACGAGGGAGCTCATTTGGCGGGTTGGCATTCACGGACGGAGAGGGTTCGCCAGTTGAGATCCGCCCGAGGCCGGTGCGAGGAGCATCGCTCATCGGGACTGCCCATGCGCCGACTCTTTCGTCCATCGCGCAAGCCAAGGCGCCTCTCGTCAACCCGACCACGGCGGAAGGGACGATCAGTCAACGGCGAAACCTCCGCAGTCCCCAACCTGACGAGCAATCCGGTCTCCGCCCTTCGACACCGTCCGACCTCGGCGCCCCTTCAGCCAACATCGTCGTCCGCGCGCCAAGCTCGGAAATCGAGCGCACGCCGCCGCCTCCCGTCCCTTACGCTTTCCCGTCCGGCTCGCACTCGCATCACCAGCCGAACGGCTCGATCAGCAAGGGCAGCGGCTTCTCTGGCGCTTCACTCCCCAGCCGACTACGCTCGCTCTCGCAGTCCGGCAGCAAGCGGCCGAAACTGCAGTCTTTCGACTCGGAACAAGGGCGACCGCCTCTCCCTCCTCTCCGCACGACGGTGAACCACACGTCTTCCGTTTCCGTCTCATCGGCTGCTACCTCGTCGACCGGCGGTCCGTCTCGCAAAGCGTCTGTCCCGACGCCGACCTCGCTCAACGCGCCGACCTTCGCAACGCTCGGACGCAGTAACTCGTCGTCGTCCGTCGCCAACAACGCCTCGTCGGCGTATCCCTTCCGGACGCTGGCAAGCGCCGGCAGCGAAGGCCCGCCCTCCTCCGCCAGATCCCGCCACGCAGTGTCGCCCTCGTTCTCAGCGTACCAGCATCACCCGTCGCAGAGCGTATCGGGTGGCGTTTACCTCTCGGCTGGCCTCCCGTCTCCGCCTGCCTCGACAGAGCCAGCCTCGCGCGAGACGACTCTCGCCGTTCCCGCCGCTCGACGTCCATTCCACCTCATGCGCCTCGTCCTCGCCACGATGCCTCCGCCACCGAATGCGAACGGAGCGTCGAGCGGCGGCGGCTACTTGAGTGAACGGCTGTACGTCCCGGCGCAAGTCTGGACGACTCAAGGAGGCGCCAAGCTCGTCGCGCTCGAGACGAAAGTCCGCATGCTCGAGCTCATCTCGACCGGTCTCGATGCGCTCGAGAAAGCTGGACGAGGACTCTTGCTCGTCCCGACGGCGAGCTCGAGCGCACATGCGGCTGCACGGGAGGAGGCGGCGCGATTTGCGCGGGAACTCGAGAGCTTCGAGGGGCTTGCCGAGGGCGTCCAGACAACGCTTAACAAGAAGCTCGGACCCGGCGTGATTGGCTCGTTCTCTGGCGGAGTTAGTGGCGGTGCGGGAGCGGGACCGGAGAAGGATGCGAAGACGGGACGGAAGGGCAGCACGGTGCGGCGAGCTCAAGTCGCTCCCTCCTAGCGTCGATCTGACTCTTAACGTCGCAGGCGAGCTTCTCGACCTGGAGCTCAAAGCTGTCGGCCAGCTTGAATCGCGTAACGAACGGTGTCAGGTTCGTCTCGCCTCCCTTCCTTGACCGAATCGCTTCGACCTGACTTTGCTCCTCGACAGTCTGGACTCGCAAGCGGCCTACGTCGACGCCATTGCCAAGGTCTTCAGGCAAGGGCAGTGCCTCGGTGCGCCTGCTCACCCGTTCTTCTTTCCGCTTCTTGCTGATCTCGCTTCTCGTAGATCCGCATCTCGCCTTCATCTTCGCCAGCGGTCCAGCCGACGCCGTCAACCCTGAAGACAGCCCCTACGCGCTTCTTCCCGACGCAGACCGGCATCGGCTCGAACGCCAACTCCGCAAGTCGAGCGAGTTCTTCAACCAGGTCGTCTGTCGCTTCGTCCTGCGGGACGTCGGGGTGCTTCTTGACAAGTGTGCGTCTCGCTTTGTCTGGCAGTGACGAGACTTCCCAGCTAATACAGCGTCTGACTGCAGACGTCAAGCGAGGCGGCGCTTGGCTTTCCGGCGAGTAGGAAGACGCCCGTCTCCACCCCCTGCGCTATCGCCTTCGCCCTTCGCATCCCACACGCTTTCGCTCCGATTTCCGTCATCCGCCGAACTTCCGCCAAACCTCCGTACTCGCACACCGGCCCCTCCTCGACCTTCCCCCTTCCTCCCCAGGGGTTGTATCTTCCTCCCTCCTTTTTCGCATGTTGCAACACGTTCTTGTCTGCCTACAGCAAAACTTCCTCGCCGGCGGCTGAACGACTTCGCCGTCGAAGAGGAGGTGCTTGCGGGCCGGAGTCTCCGTCCCGCGCTCGCTCCCCTGCCTCGCCTTCTGGCCGACGCTGACCCCTCGCACGCGTGGTCATTGCGGGTGGATGAGAATATGAAGGGCAATCGCCCAGCACGCGAGCGATGCATGCACGAGGTTCGTCGCTTAATCTCCGTGTCCTCTGTTGCGGTCGTCGCTGCCAAAGGGCGAGCAGCACCTCCCACGTCTCGAGTGCGTCTTCCAACCAGTGTCCAGCGTCGAAACGAAGCTGATCTCGCTCGCCATGACGCAGACCAGCTACTTTAGCGGGGAGAGAAGCGGCCTCCTCTCGCTGCGAAGATCGAGAGGAGCTTGTCCTCCGCAGAACCTCCTCTCCTGCGCTGACTTGGCCTCGGTCCGATCTCCCTTCCACGTTTCCTCGCTCTCGTGCTGCACCTCGACCCTCTGCAGCTGCGTGCTGCAGTCGCCGTCCGTCCGCAGCCGAACGCAGACGTTCTCGACGCACGCCCTCGCCTGTTCGGTGCGTCGAGCCGTGTCCTCCCGCCCTGCAGCGACGCGCTGACCCCGCTCACGGTGCAGCGAGTCCACCGCCGGACGACGTCGTTCGAGCAAGATGGGCAACGGTCCTTCTCCCCTCGACTTGCTCTCGGGTGTCGCCAGTGCACGCGTAGAAGAGCTCGCGACCCAGCACAGGCGAGCAGGGCCCTCGTCGAACACCGCCCCGCTCACGCAGACCCGCCCCTCGTCGTCGCTGAGGTCGACCGCCTCATCGCCCGCGTCGCCACCTCGTCCCGCAGGACATCTATCGACAGCACACCCAGTAGACCGCGCGAGGCTTGCGAGCGACTCGAGAACGACTCTCTCGGCACCGTACCGCCTCAATCAGATCATCGGGACCGCGTCTCACCCCTCTGCCTCGTCTGCTCGACTCGTTCGCCTCCCTCCCGTCTCCGCCCTCATCCCGTCCCTTCCTGCGCCGCAAGGAGCTCAGTACAGTCACCCAGTGCGGCATCTCGCACCATCGCCTCGCCCAGCCCCTCCTCATCGACCTCGCCACCCTCCTCAGCTCGTCTTCGAACCCTCTCGCGGCTTTCGACAGGTCGATCTTCCTCCTCCTCACGTTCGAGAACCGAACAGGCCGCATCAAGGTCGTAGAATGGAATACGAACGCTTGTACTCGGCGGGCCAGGCGTCCGTGTCGGTCGTCGGGCTGAAGGGCGGCCAGCACGGGAGCGCGACGGATGCTCCGGCCTCGCGACCGGTAGTTCTGGATGCTAAGCGCCCGGCGGTGGAACTCCAAGCGAGCTCGACGGCGTCACCTCCTCTCGACCCTCACCGAACGCCTCGCCAGTCGCCTCGTCCTGTCGAACCCGCTCCTGCTCCTTCCCCTGCGCGCTCACACTCTTCCACCCCAGCACCCGCTATCCGCGAAGCGAATTCGGCGGCAAAGGAGCCGACCACCACGGCGACCGAACAGACGAGCGGCGGCGAGAAGGATCCGGTCGTCTCGTGCACGCTGTGGGAGGACGAGCGTTGCGTCGTCACGCAGGTTCTCGTCAACGGACACGTCGTCGCGAGGAGGTCGGACCTCGACTATATCAATTGCACCAAGCTGCTCAACGTGAGTTGGGCGCGCTCTTCATCCGTTCGCGCGCGAGACTGACGACCTTCCTGCTCGCGCAGATGGTGCCGGGCTTGACTCGCGGGAAGCGCGACATGTACCTCAAGGTTCGCTGCGTCGAACTGTTCGCCTTTGGTCGCTCGCTGACGGATGACATTGCCCACAGAACGAGGGCGACCGCATCGTCTTCCGCCGCGGTGCGCTGCATCTCAAGGTGCGTTCGATCTCACCCCTACTCGTCGACAAGCTGTGGAGATGACTGTATACGTCCGCTCGCTCATGCAGGGCGTCTGGTTCGTTACGCCGTCCTGCAACCGAGGCCATTCTTGCAGACTGACCTCGCTCGCTCGCCCGCAGGCTCCCTCTCGCTGCCGCGGCTCGTCTCGCGAAAAACTTCAACCTGTACAAATGCCTCTACCCGCTCTTCGAACCCGACATCCTCCAGTTCCTCTTCCGCCCCGTCAATCGCGAACGGACTGGTCAGCTCATCCAGGCTGCGAGGGGTCGCGAGGCGCTCATCTCGAAGCCTGACGTCTCGAGTGGCTTGAGCGAGGAGGATCGTGAGAAGTTGAGCACGAGAGGCGCGGCGCTCGAGAAGATGCTGTGCGAGTTGGAAGAGGGGTTGATCGCGACGGCGCCCAAAGTCGAAACACCTCCGCGCCCGCCGTTGCATCAGCAGCAGCGCGAGTCGGACAAGCGGAGCTGGGCTGCCCATGAAATGGACAAGTCGCAGCGGCCAGCCAAGATGCGTCGAATCGCTCCGTCGGGTGCGACGCCGCCGCCTGGCCCGTCAACTCACCGCCTTGCTGCCGCCTTCGAGGAACGCTTCCAAGCGGACCGACAGCAATTGACCTACGCCCCTTACCAACCCGCACCTCGTCCTCACCTCCCTCTCTACACCGCTTCCGGCTACCCTCCGTCGTACATGACGTACCCGATCCAGCCTCACCACGCGCCTCCACCACCAGCCACCGAGTCTCTTTCGGCTGTCCCTCGTCGGCCGTCGATGGACGTCGGCTACACCCGCGACTATCGTGCCCCGGTCGCCTGGTACGACAACCCGACGCCTCCGCACGCGCACGACATGAGCGAGTACTTTGCGTCGACGTCCGGCACGGCGATGCGGCGCCTCAGCGCGGTCGAGGGTGGGCTCGACGTCGTGCGCAAGAACGAAGAGGTGCAGGGCTGGCAGGCGGACGGCTCTATCGCGGAGAGTCGCCCACCGCAAGCAGGAGGCGACGTGCTGAGGCGCCTTCCGATCGGCTCGGATGCGTCGATGGAGTCGCCGTTGACGTTCGAACCGCCGTACTCGATGCAGCTGCGGGATCCGTACGGTCGTTCGCTATCGCTTCCTGCTTCGACCGATACCTTCGCTCCTTTTGACAGCCACCAGAATATCCTCACGACTCAGCCGAACATCGTCTACCGTTCCGAGCCGTCGATGCCTTCGCCGAACGACGAGCTCGACTTTGGCCAGATCCACCAGGCGCTGTACTCGCCGCCCGTCCAGCCTTCCCGCCTCGGTGGGGCGCGCCTCTCCATCGACTCGGCCGCCGAAGCCGTCTTCCCCAACTACGGACTCGGCTCGACCTCGCTCGTCGCGCCGCACACGGTTGGGTTGATGCGGACCAACGGCACCGAGTCGTACACCAATTGGCTCCCAAAGGCGTTCGACGCGAGCGACTGGGCAGATGCGTGGGCCCGGCAGGATGCGGGCGAAGACGGCGGGTACGGCGCGAGTGCACCAGCGAGCGAACCTCCTCGTCCCGTCGAGTCGACCTTCCCAAACTTTCCCGACGACGCCTACGCCTCAACTTCCTTCGCCGACTCTCCGTTCGCGCCCAGCGGCTCGGCGCCGCGCTTCGCTCACTCGGCAGCATCGCCCGGCCCCCAGGCACCGCCTTACCTGGATGGCGCTTTCGCCGGACAAGCGATGTCGCCATCTGCGCGGCGCGACAGTCTCTGCGGTGTTGTTGGCGTTGACGGCTCGCTTGCGCTGAGCCTCGGATCGCCGGTTGGCATCAAGGTCGAGCCGGATGAGTGAGCGAGAAGGTCAAGCCGGACGAGGCTGAGCTGCGTCGTCGCCTGGCGGCCTCTACACGGCTCTCCAGAAACGAGACACATCAAGGTGCGTTCTGACCCCTCTACACTGCAGCGAAGCTCGCTCATCAGTACGTCGACCGCTCGCAGACGTCTCTCTTCACCTTAAACCCTTCCCTTTCTTGCCCAACCTCGCTTATCCGGTTTTCTTTCGCCCGCTCACCTACATCGCGCCTAGACCTCTCTCGCCGAACATACGTCGCCTCGTAGCACACGCAGAGTCGGAAACGAGCGATTCCCTCCCTTTCCTCGTTGTCGAGCCGTTGCGCTTCTCCCGCTCTTGCGTCCGGGTTGTTCTCTCCTACCTGCATGTTGGCAAAGCAATGTATTGCAGTGCCGTTCAGGCTGCCAGTGGCCGTCGCCAGAGATCCCGCTCGAGTCTTGTCCTCCGTCTCCGCCGGCAGAGCTTTCGTCCGTCCACTCGCTCGCGCTCTCCGCCCCTTGTGGCTTGTACGCTTACCAGAGCACCTGAAAAGGGCTCACACGCACGCTCGCTTGCACCCGGACTGGACCGGCTCGCTTCAAGGGCGACTCTGCGACGAGCTCAGGAATGTCATCGTCCTCGAAACCTCGACAGGGAGGCCAGGCGGGACAGGCAGGAATGCAGAAGCCCAAGACGTATCCTTTCTGGCTCGGCGGTGCGCTCTACTCCCCTCTCGAGCGCTCAAGGGCCTTATTTGCTGACCTTCATCTCGTCTTCTGCTGCCGGGTCTCGGGTTCGCCCGTCAACAGGTGCGGCGGCGAGCTGGGCGGCTGTGTGCACTCGTGTGTTCATCTTGGAGCGAATGAGCTGTTCGGCCATGCGCCGGCATGCGTGGAATCGCCAGCTGACCGCTTCCCCCTCCTCGATAGATCCTCTCGACCTCGCCAAGGTGTACGTTGGGTTGCTATTCGTCTCGCAGTATCTGGAGGTTTGGGCAACTTTGCGGAACCACATGCTAATCCGCAATTCCCGCTCGCAGCCGGATGCAGACGACCAAGGGCAAGGGGTTCGTTGGAACGCTGGTAGACAGTGTCAAGGCTGATGGTGAGTAGACTCGTCCATGACTAGGCGTACACGTGCCTGCAGGGGCGTCTTGGGACTCAGCGCTGACGGCTCTCGTCTCTTCCTCGTCCTCTCGCTTTCACCTTCTCCCTCCCGTTCGACTGTCCCGCCTCCGCCTTCTCTTCTCGCCACCATGTTGCACCTACTCGACCATCTCTCTCGTCTCGCTGTTCAGGCCTGCGAAGAGGCGCCTACGCTGGTCTCTCGGCCTCGATCCTGCGACAAATGACCTACTCGCTCACCCGTTTCGGCGTCTACGACGAGTTGAAGAAGCGCTTGACGAAGCGGCATCCGGTCGGACAGCCTCTACCTGCGTGGGAGATGGCTGCAGCGGCGAGTGTAGCGGGAGGACTGGGCGGACTGGCAGGGAACCCGGCGGACGTGATCCTGGTGCGGATGACGGCGGATGCGGCCAAGCCTGCTGCGGAGCGGTTAGGATACAAGCACTGGTGCGCTCACACGACATCTATCTACGGACGACATCGCCGTTGCAATGCCTTGGACAAGCGGGAAGAACTCACCGAACTCGTCCTCGCCGCCCACAGCTTCGACGGCGTCTTCCGCATCATCCGCGAAGAAGGCGCTTCGGCTTTGTTCCGCGGCGTTGGACCTAATTGTGCGCGAGCGATCTTGATGAGCGCTTCGCAACTCGCAACGTGAGTCGTCGAACCTGGTTCTCTCCTCCGCGTCTTTCCTTTGCGCCTGCTTCGTTCAACTTCGTCTCATATGGCTCGACTGTACTGACACTCTCCCGGCTCGCGCCGCGCAGCTACGACTTCTATAAGGACATGATCGTCAGCACGGGACTCATCAAGGACGGCCTGCCTCTTTACTTTGCTTCCTCGTTCTTGGCGGTGCGTTCACACTCTTTGCGCTCTTCCGCGTCTATCGCCCTTCGAGCGGAAGACGCCGGACGAACTGGGACTCGTAGGGGAGAAGGACGGCTGGCTGATCCTCTCGCTTCCCGCAGGGCACGACCGCCACAACTATCTGCGCGCCGTTCGATGTCATCAAGACGAGGGTGCGTTCGTTCCACTCGCTGTCGCTCAGAATGCCTGGCTAATCTCGCACACCGCTTATCCTCCGCCCGCCAATCTCCTCTCGCCCTGCAGATCATGAACGCCAGCGGCTCATCCTCGATCGGCAGCGTAATCTCGCACTCGTTCAAGACCGAGGGCATGAGCTGGATGTTCAAGGGCTGGACGCCGGCTTGGATACGTCTCTCGCCCAACACCATCATCATCTTGTGAGTCTAGTCTGGCGCTGCTCGTTGTTCGAGACCCGCGCTCGTGGTGGAGTCGCACGTCTCTGTTGCTGTCCAGGTCTGACGAGCTCCACACGCAGCCTCACCCTCGAGAACCTCAAGAAAGGTGTCGACTACCTCCGCGGCACTCCCTAGACTTCGCCTTTTCGCCCATGCCGTCGAATCCCGACCATGTTCATCGTGAGATTACCCCGCCGTCGCCCACGAATTCCTTCGCTCTCGCCCGCCCCTTGGCTCCGCCCTCTCTACCTTTTCTCGCTCGCATCGCCCTCGCATTTCATAGACTTCTGCCTCGATACCCCTTCTTCCTGCCTCTCAATAGACTCGCCTCGCCTTACATGTATCGGCATCTCGCACGCGTGCCGCAGACCGGTGGAACTCGTAGACGCGCATTATTTCCTCGTTCTCGTGCGTTGCAGCGGGCTTCTCTGCCTCCGCTGGCGGTTCAGGCTTATCCGGTGACGGCAGAAGTTGCGTGCGCATCGCTCATTGCTCAGGAAAGCCCGCTCCTCGCCTGTGCCTCCTCCTCGTCACGCTCGCTGTCTGTTCTCCTCCTCCCCGTCACAACGCTTTCCCCGCCTGCGCGTTCCCGCTTCGAGCAGTCTAGACGGCTCTCGCTCAGCTTGCTACACTCGCCCCTCATCGCCCCTGCACTCCCCTCGCCGCCTGTCATCGTCGAACCCCCACACCACCGCCCGCGACTCTCGCCTAGCAGGACGGACCGCAACCACCGTGTTGGCTTGACCGTTCTCTGCGTCGACGTACTCGCTCACAGTGAGTCTGGCCGTTGTATCTGGTGAGGAGGCGGGGCGGAGGGCGAAGCAGGCGAAGTAAGGGAGAAAGGACGGGCAAGGCAGGGAATCGGACGTTCTTGAAGACGGTCATGCTACACGAGAAGGCGGTATGGCGCGCAGTGGGAGCGAGCCTGCTCACGCGACAGATCCTGTGCCGCTGCGGGACTCGTCCGCTGACTTGTTTCCGCTTCTACAGGTTCTCCCTCTTCGCCAGTCATACCTTTGCTCCTACGATCTGTCTTCTCGCTCTTGAACTTGACGTCGACTGGTCCGCCATGAACCGCCTCTTCGGCTCGTCCTCCTCGAAGCCGAAACCCTCCCTCGCAGACGCAATCGCTTCTACCGACCTGCGAATCGACTCGATCGAGGTCAAGGTCCGCAAGCTCGATGCCGAGCTCACCAAGTACCGGGATCAGATGAGGAAGATGCGGGACGGGCCGGGAAAGGTGCGTTGCAGGACGTTCACTTGCAATCTCCGCCTTTCGCCTGCACTCGGCGTGCAAGCGGCTGCTCGAGCTACCTTCCACCGCTCACACTGACTCGAGCTTCCGTTTTCCCCGCAGAACGCCGTGCAGCAGCGCGCCCTCCGCGTCCTCAAGCAGAAGAAGCTGTACGAGTCGCAGATCGCGCAGCTGCAGCAGCAGAGCTTCAACATGGAGCAGACGACGATGACGACCGAGAATCTGCGCTCGACGATGGCGACGGTCGACGCGATGCGGATAGCGAACAAGGAGATGAAGAAGCAGTACGGCAAGATCGACATCGACAAGATCGAGGTGCGCGGACGTCGTTCGCGCACTTCTTCCGCTTTGCTCACACTCTTTCGTCTTGCAGGCGATGCACGACGACATGGCAGACTTGATGGAGGCGGCAAACGAGGTCCAGGAGTCGATGTCGCGGGCGTACGGCGTCCCGGACGAGCTGGACGAGGCGGATCTCGAGGCGGGTGCGTTGACATGGCTCTCTCTCACGTTCAGGATCCTCCGCTGATGCCTCGCTCTCTGTGATGCCTCGCTCTCTTACAGAGCTTGAGGCGCTCGGGAACGAGTTCGAGGAGGAGGAAGGGATTCCCTCTTACCTTCAGGCGAGCGCGACGAGCGAGCTGCCGGACTTTGTCGACGAGCCACCGCAGAAGGAGGAGGTGCGTCTCGTGTGCCTTTCACTCTTGCTTCAGCGTAAGCGAGCTGACTCTGCGTTGCGCTGCTTCCGTCCGCTTGCGCAGGCTCCGAAGGAACGACTCGGAGAAGGTGTGGTCTAGATGAAAGGTTGCTGGTGATGTTTGTTGTACTGTGAGTCCTCGTTCCACTCCAGATCTCGCGCGGAGCGCGCTTGTGGGATAAGTTCGCGCGAAGCGGCCCTCGTCCCGACTGTCTTTGCCGGCGGCACCTGCAGCGGACTGGCTGGATCTCGCTGGTTTTCGCAAGCTGACCTCTCTGGCTTATGCTTGCAGCTTACGTCTCCCCGTTGTAACATCCGCTCGGCGGCGCTTTGCAAACCTGCGCAGCCCGTTCGCGTCCGTCCACTTTCCGCTTAAGCGACTCGCGTCCCTCGGAGAGCACAGTCACGGTGAGATCATACAAGTCCATTCCAGCGCACTAGCACTACGCTCCTCATTTACTCGTGTACCTGACCGTCGCTGCCCATTCCTCGAGATCATACTCGTCCATCTCTTGCTGCTTTTCGAAGTGTACGATCTTGAGCGAGACGTCGGCGTTACTGCATGCGAGAGCCCCTAACCCTAAGACATATCAATGCATCACGTAACGTA